TGAGGCAAATCAGGCAAGATCTTGGGTTGCATCGGCTTGCACAATGAACCCAACTTCTCCGGCTGCACACTGAACCTTCTCCAATCCCGATAAGCGTCCCGGCACCGTTGTCTGTCCTTGGCCGAAGTGAAGCTCTCAACATGTCACGAACCTTTGTCGCATGCATACTCTCCCCGAACACATTGACATGCAGCTATGTCGATTATCACCAAACGGTCTCCCCAATGGTGTTTGATATACCAAGCATTTGATATATCATCTCCCATGCAATTGGCAAACTATCTTCCGGGTGAAACACCGATCTCGGGCTCGCGGAGAGAGGGTATTCTCTCAGGCAAATGCCGGAGACCGTAGGGAGACGGAACAGAAATCTTATGAAAGGACAACAACAGTAGCTGAATGTTGACAGTTGATCGATAAAGTCCCCTTTGTAGGAGATCTTTGACCATCCAGACTATGAGTTTGTTTGGTCGTTTTATGGGACCCTGAAGAAGCACCTTTTTGATCCTTTTTGTCTTTGTGGCAACTACTCTCAAGCCGAAAGAGGGCTCGTGGAATGCCACTATGTAGTCACTGGGTCGCCACCCCGCCTTGGCGGAACCCAACCGTTCCCGGCACCCATCCGGACAAAAAAGAACATGCGCTTCTTCGCTGCACCGAGTGGCGCGGGTTCGCCGCGCCGGGCGGCGAAGCCGACGTCTGCGGCGTCGGATGACAGTCGAAGATCGAAGATTTGGGTCTTGGAATGACATTCAACAACATATATACCCGTATGAATCCATGAAAGACCACAATGTTGGCTGGGAAAAGACAACATTGTGGGTGGTTGGTGGTCCAACATAGAGGTCACTCAGGTTCAAGTTACTTATATAATACTATACTGCAGTAAGACAAAATGTACGAGTATAGGTACAGGATGGTACAGGTATACCAAGAGCCTCACAGGCGGTAAGACACGATGCCACTGCCGTTTCTCCAAACTTGGGCACACCCTCCAGGTCGACTGGCTTACTGACCTTTACCTTCAAAGATCTTTGGCACCAAACCATCTGCTCATGCATGTTCCTGACGGCACGTGTCTGCCTCACCTGGTGGCTAACTGCCAAACCGTTTTAGGCCACGGACGGCGGTGTTCCAGACATATACTATATACTATTCCGACCTCCACGTGACTGGTGGTCTTTCTTCCCAAACGCCTGTGGGATGGATGTTCATTCAACATCAGCAAAGGTGGTACATGATTGCGAGGCTCGACAGCTCTGCTCATTAGAGGGGGCCTGGGCCTCCATCAGTCGGACGCCCGGTAAATTGAGGAGGTTGATAAAGCTCATGGTCTTACTGCTTCGGCAGGGGGTTAGGCAAAACACCAGCAGCTGCTGCAATCGCACCACAGATGCACCGATCCAGAGCGATCTGTGGTGTGCTTTCACAACAAGACCGATACCAACTGCCAACAAAAGCTTGGATATACTGAAGTGAATACCGCATAATACAGCTGCTTGAAGCCAGCCTTTACAAGCAAGCAAATGGCTATGCCTTACATTTACCCCCCCAGGTGTGTTATTGTCTCGCCTGTTCCCGTGCCGGTGCCTTGTGCTCTGACAATGGGAGCCTCGGCAAATGCATAGAGCAGGTAAGACAAATTATGTGCTGTGCTGGTGGACGTGGAAAGGAGTTAAGCACCATGAATTCACTATAATATTATCAAAACAAACCTTCTGAAGTAGCTGCATGTAGCTGCCTTCTTGTTCATCACTCTGTATTTCCCAAGCAGGACGCCTGATCCAGGACAGGATAGCTTAAAATCAGTGAACTTGTTTTAACTGCACAATATAATAAGATGGCACAACTCCCTCACAAAGCAACATAGGTGCGACTCGTGAACTCTAAGTAGTCTGCAAGGGTCTTATCTATTGGTGTCATACGATTTGCTTGAAAGGTCCAGTCTAGGACCGTCCTGTTGGGACTGAGGCACTCACCGTACAAAACCGTCGGCACACTTGAAAGTGCCGCATTACAAGAGTTCCAGGGCCTGAACAAAAACGGTGCTTCCTGACACTGAAGGACCATCATACCCACACCTATACGCTGGATGCAAGGAAACACCAGTTACGGCACTCTCTCCGCCGTGCCAATTTGTGGGCACCTGTACTTTCTGGCCAAACCCGACACACAGCAGTTTGCAACGGGGGGTAAGCGGGACACAGCTTCAGAGTTTCTGCTGCTTTTCAACGTTCTCGCGCGCGAGCTGGAAGGTGTCACCGGCGCGAGGAAGACTGTCGGAGCCAGGCAAGCCGCTCAAATGGGCTCTCCGACCACTGCCTTTGCAGGCTCGGATTTTGACTTTAAAAAGTTGGGGGTGAGCATTCGACAATGCATTTTGGTCCAGGTGCTTTCTGGAAGTTATCCGCAAATTCCAGAAGTAAGGCGAGCTCGGGTGATGAAGCTCACTCAAGTTTCCACACAGTGAGTGTAGAGGGTAGATACACGCAATACCCAAGAGATCCAATGGAATAACAATAACATTCTTCAAGTCAAGTCGACAGAAAATCATGACAATCCACAACATTTGTCTGGGTGCCATGTGTTCCTTGTTTTGCTTCATACACGTTCTTGTTTTATATACAGTAATCTTCACAACTCAAACAAAATGACCCACGGAAGTGACATCAAATAGGGAAACGTCTCTGTTCACCATGTCTGAAAACAAAATCGACGGGAACACGATGCGGTCGACCGAATTGGACGGTCGACCGATGGGCGCTCAGCGCTAGCCCAAGCTTCTGCGAGCTGTCAGGACACTCATTGTCATGAAAAGGGCACCCGGGCAACCGCATGATGTTGCTTGATTTTGTATATCAATATATATTATATATATATATACAGTAGTAGAAATCAGTAGAATGTACGGTACAGGCGGTGGACCAAAGCATCCAAGAGCAGCCCGGACCTGCTTGTCAGTGCTGAAATTGCTCGTCGCTTCGTCGGAGGACACGGTTTGAAATTGATCATCATGAAACTCATATCCCAGACACGACTGATGGGACTGCCATATTTGCCGATCAAATGGGGTGGTTGAAGTCGGGGTCAATGTATGCATATATTGTATTCATATATTATATATATATATATCCATATATATATATATGTATATATATATACACCAGCAACCTCCAACAGCTATCTTGAAGTGGCCTGTTAGAGCAGGTCTCTTGAAGAGACCTGTCGGAGGTTGCTGGTATATATAGTGTTATATCTTCGATCCATGGAGTGTTACACGGTCCGGGACCGGGTCGTTCAACCTGGCAGGTCCAACATCATGTAGCGAGCGAGGTCCAACCAACCAACCAACCAACCAACCGTCCGGTCTTCGTCTCCACCATGGGTTCGTGCCCGGTCGTGTCCGGTCGGTCCACCAGCGCCCGGTCTGGCTCCCATGGCTATGTGATGCGCCCCATGGCCCCATGGCTCCGATGGCTTGTCATGGGAGCAATGAGAGCCAAACTGTGATAAGTAATTTCCTTGAGATACATAGGATACGATTCGCAGTCCACCCGGTCCTTGACTACACTGGGACTGGAAGCTGGCAAACAATGAAACAAATCAGCAACACCACACGAACCATCACCCCCTCTCCAGTCTTACTTGCACCAAAAAGACACAAGGAAGCACAGTACGCGCAGTACTGACAATATAATATCCAGAAACAACAAATACAATACATTCGAACAGGAGGAAGATCTTCAGTTCTGTGGGGCCGAATCGCGTGCCCATGCGTTGTGTGTTTCAGGGAACGATTCAACCAACAAATCGCGTGCCCCTTTTTCGCCCCATGAGACACTCACAAACCTCCGAAGCGCGAGGCGGATCCATCGAATTCACGCAGATCCATCGATGGAAGCGTGGCGGGGATGATGGACTGCGTCGAATGGGGGACACTTCTCATTTCGGTCGATCGAGAAGGTCCAGTGACCCAGCTGAGGTCTCCTTCTCCTTCTCCACACACCCCATCTACTGAGTTCTCAAGCGAGTCCTAGTCCTAGTGATATCCGAAATCGGTGGAGAATTCGAAAGTTGTGTGATTCAAGGCATCCTCTGCCCTGCTCGACACTTGAAAAAGCCGCAATCCTCCAGCAGCGCATATAGACATCAAACTCTCAGGGCTACACCATTCCAACATGAACAGGTGTCCTTCCCAAAATCGATCAGAATCTGATTTGTGAAACATGCTGCAATATTTTTCAAACCATTATAAGAACTCTTGAAATTCATACAACAATTCCTTAATTCTGTTAAACCATGTTTAACCTTCTGTTCAATGAACTATTCCTTCTTATTCCCACCTATGGTATGCCCATGTATGGCCTGGTTGCAGAGTGGCTATCACTGGTGGAACCATGTTCAACCAACCCATATCCTGGGCACCCCGAATATTATGTTTGCAGCGTCAAATGTCGCCTTCTGTCTGGTTTGCGATGTCCCTGGGAATGCTGGTACTGAGATATACTATTAAAAGCTACTGGAGGACTACTGGAAACCCGCCGAATGAAAATGTGACTTCACACCTTTCCCGAAGGGTCTTCCACGCCTGGCCGAAGGTGGACGCACCCTCTTTCACACAAACGTCGCCGCCGAGGGGGTAGACTATGGTCCCCCTACCAGCTGGGGTCCTGGATTTACTAAGAAATGATACACATCCGAACCAAATCTTCATAGAAGTATACGTTCAATCGATGCTTGTAGAGAATATCCAAATCAGTTTCTTCCAGTCAACGAAGCAAAAACTTGACTCATTGGCTTAGCGTATGCATGTCTGACCCGATGTGCATTCTGGATCATTTGTCCAAGAACACATGCGGAAAAATGCTTGACATTCTGACATTCCTATAACATCCTATATATGATTCTGCCGCCGATGCCTCCAAGTGCACTACTCAACCAATTGCCTAGCAGCTAGCATCTGGACATGTTTCAACGCAGCGCAAATATCGGCCGCCGACCTAGGCGCGGAGCTGTTTGTCCACAAGGCGGCGGTAGTGGCCATCCAGCGAGAGTAGCTGCTGGTGGCTGCCTTCTTCCACCACGCGGCCATTCTCCTAAGACAAGGCGATGCATTCAGCAGGCACTACGACGACACCGTGGACACTGCGACGACATTCGCTCTGATTCATTGCCCCTTAGATCGTTCTCGTATTTGTGTACCCTGCAAGACACTAAGAGGATGTTGAAGAGCTACTAGCAACATGTGTGTGGTTTCAAAGCACGGCCATTGAACAATTGGGTGAGACATCCGACGTCTTGATCAACTCAGTCGACAAACGTGCACACACATGTTGCATTTTTACCCGTACCGGATACCGAGCATGTTTGAGTATGCTGCAATTCGGATTACAATGGCCTGAGTGTCATCCTCAAACCTTCAAAACGAGAGAGGCCCTTCTGCGGCCCCCATCAACAGACCCATCGGCTTTCGAGGGCCGAATTTCACCCGCCTGAACCGCCAAACCCGCCTGAACCTGCATGGGTCGACATGAAGGACATGAACCATTTGGGTGGCTATTCACTGTTATTCATGATTCATGGCTCATCGAATATGTTCCAGTGGATTGTAACAATGCCAACTGCATGATCAAACCGACAAAATCCGACGAATATCTATTTTGTACATCGTTATACACATACCTCGACCAACGAACATGGGGTGGACTGACCCCGTGGTGGAAGATGTCTTGTTTAAAACATGTTAAAACCATTCCTAGTAGCTACTTGCTCCTAGTAGTATGGCCAGGAGCCCCGAACGAAGCGCCCGCTGCCCATGTTCCGGTTCCTCCGCAGGGAAGGACGAACGAGTTCCCTCCGAGGTGCGATGACGTAGATCACGTCGGCCTTCTTGACGGTGGAGAGCCGGTGGGCCACGATCACCACGGTCATGTCATGGTGTGCCACCAAGTTGTTGATGGCCATCCTAGTCCAAACAAACACTGATTGAAGGGCGTTGAAGCGGGGCGATGGATTCATAGGATGGTGTGCAAACATGTGAGGAATGAGGTGAATGAGAATGTGAACATCAGAAAATAGGAGTGATATACAACAACCTTCTTTCTAGAAGTCTTTAGTTTTGAAACAAAAGGGCATTAGCATTAGCAGCCTTCAAAAGAAGCTTGTGGGTGGTGAGTGGTGACCTGTTGCACGGTCCTGGCAAGTCTTTGTTTTGTGGTACACAAACATGATACCTTTGGAGATCGACATGGAACATCAAAGCAGCTTGTTCTTAGACGTATCTGCTGTGTATATACATATATAATATATATAAATATATTGTTTATATGTGACATGCGGCATGCGTATATACTGATCTCACTACTGAACTCTTCTGCGTGAGATTTATGTTTTAGGTTCTGTGATTAGCTTTGGATGAAGCAAACACAAGTGAGCACCAGCTATGCAACACTGCAAACCACCACATAAAAATTCTGGCATGTAAGGAGCTGGGGTCTGAACTGAGAAATATCCCAACATCCAAGCCAGCAAGACATTTTCACCGCTTCATCTATCTACAGTACCGTGCCCTTCTCTGAGCTGCCGACCCGGAGTCACCGGTATTTTTTGTTTCCGCCGTCTAACAGTTTTGTGCAATCAAACATTCAAAAACATCCCAAGACACCAGGGAAGTGAGTGAATTCCTTCTCAAATCAAGAAGGCCTCCACAAAATTGTTCGAAGGAACAGTTCCTGTCTTCTGCCCATCCTCTATTCACCCCCCACCTGACTGCACCAAAAGACAATCAGACTGCATGGGTGACAGGGTTGGGTCTTTAAGGGGTTGTATATGGTTCAACAAACATGACACCCCAAACCCAATCAACACAACCAAAACTTGTGGGTTTAAGAAGGGTTTGAAGGGATGGTGAAATATGTTAAAATGAATACCCTGACTACGTACTCATTCCTTCAATTGGAGCCAGCTTGAACCTTGCTAGGATAAAAAAACAACAACTACTGTAACTGAAACATAGAGTGGCCAGAAGGTTGCCATTCTAACGAAGACCCTAAAAGGACCCCGAAAGGAGCCAGGACACATGGCTGGACGGGTTCCTTCGTCGACTTGGAATGAGAACCCCTCACAACCAAATTGAAAGTGGCTTCAACTCACTTGAAACATATTACGTAGTCAGCGGGCTCAGTCAAGTTGATTGAACATTAACATATCTGAAGACAAACAAACTCATCCAAAAAAACATATCCTCACTGAGCGGCTGCACTTGGAGCTCGCTTTCGGCGTCCAACGCACTGGTCGCCTCATCCAGCAGTAAGACCTGACCACGGACGACCGCGGACGACCACGAACCACGACGGACCACGCAGGTTCGGTTGAGGGGCTAAGCCATGAGACGACTCCCGTTGTGTGCCTTGAAAGAAAGACAAGTCTCACATGTCATACAACCAATAAAGGCAACCGTCATCGAGCGGGTAATTGCTGACTGTCCTATGGGAAATGGAGCAAGTGGCCAAAATGATGCTTGAACGCAGGCTCAATGCGTGTGCCCAATTCAAAGGAAACTTCGTGGGATCCAAACAGTCCTTGGCAAGTGGGACTTCTTCTAAGCAACATGTCACTATGGTGATTGCTGTCGCCCGTGGTGGAGTTGTAGCTGCTAGTGTTGTTGCAATGACATGTGTTTTTTCATATCACAACCAAGCGCGTCACGCGAGGCATGGCCCAGCCCCATCCGGATCGAAACGCGAAACCGACCTGAGGCTTCCTCACCAAAGCCCGGGCGATGGCAATCCGCTGCTTCTGGCCGCCACTGAGCTGGACTCCGCGCTCCCCTACACAGGAGTCATAGCCATCGGCCCTGGACCAAGTCCACTTGGTCGTCCGTTCAATCTAGCTAGTGGGTTGAGAGTAGTTGGTGCCATCTACAGTAGTTGGTGCTAGTTCAGTACGTGAAGAAGACGTGAAACCGGGCGAAACCGGGTGAAACCGGGTGACGAAGAATGTCGGGTTCCCGAACTGATACGGGGAAGCTTGGGTCAATAGTGGAGGCATTGGGCCAAGATTGGGTCAAGAGTGGCTTGAATCCACCAGTAGCCATCCAACGGTCACTAGATGTCACTAGTAATCGACATTGACCAATGAATTTGGGTCTTGGCCACACCAACGGTGGATTGGCTCCGATAGTCATTGAATCGTCCATGGTCTCACCGTTGGATCACCCTCCCCGGTCAATCACCCGCATCCACCGACGACCCGAGACCGCGGAGACCACGCGGCATTTGCTGAATGAAGTGATGCGCGTTCGCCAAGCATGCGGCGGAGACCACGTCCGGCGACAAGGCGTCCGTCCGGGCCTGACGGAGGGGGGCGACAACGCGAGGCGTCTCCGGTGGACGTGAACCAGAAGGAGCGTGGCCGGTGAAGGGCGCCCAAGTACACCATCGGACTACAGTGAGATAAGTATTGCAGCATATTGCTGTTTGCTGATAAACTCAACCGGGTGCACGCTGGTGCATTTGTTTGGTTTTGATTCTTTCATGTTGTTCTTTCACTGTTGGTGTGCATATGCATCAAATGAAAACCTCCTCATACCCCAGCCCAGAGCCCACCTGTCAACAGCCACTTATCATCCCAGTGGCCGGATGGTCGTCCGGTAGGCCATACAAGATGTTCTCCCGGATACTACACCCGAAGAGCAGGGGCTCTTGGCTTACAGCAGAGACCAGCTCCGTGTAGTTTTCACCATATTCCAAGACATCCTTGGATGAAGCACTGCATTCGTGAGCTTTTCGCCCATGAAGCGGTGGAAGAGGACGGACTGAGAACCACTGTCTAGTTCTCAAACGGTCAATGGACCCGCATGGCTATATAAATAACAAGAGACCATCCGCCAAAGACTGGAGAGTAGCTGAGTATGTCGGTGTAGGAAAATCGAATTGAGAGACCCTCTTCAAGATTCCAGCATATGCAGCATGTTACAGCATGTTTGTTTAAGCCTTCCCTATTGTGGTGGGCCAGTGGTGGGATGTACAAACATGATCAACCAATAGCCTTTTAACGACTGTGCACACGAAGGAGCTACCCAAAACAATCTACCCTTCTCTTATGGCTAAACATGCTAGCTGGGCTGTGCCCTGCTCTTCCTCTCCTCGTTCCTCCAAGGTCAGCCGAGTGTCTCGCTGGTCCAGCAGCACATGTCCCTGGTGAGGTCCATAGAGACGTTGGATCAAGGCCACACAGGTGGATTTTCCGCCACCACTGGGGCCCACTAAGGCCTCTGGCGCCCAGGTTGGGTTCGCGGACGTTTTCCTTCGTGGAGGTCCCAGCAACTGTAGCAGGGAGAGGGCGGTGGGATTTTTTAAGGATGATTTCGCTTGGGATGGTCCAAAGCGCTGCTGCGGATTTCGGAGAGGGCAAATGCGACAGGTTGTGGATCACTTCTGCACGAGTGGACGCAAGTGCAAACTGACGTCCAGGAAACACATTGCAAAATGCTTTAAACGTTGAAAACAACTCACCTCTGCAAGTCTGCAAGTTTCCTCCCCGATAAATCTCCGCCGCTCTCAAAAACGCCGCTGAAAGACGATGGCTTTCCCAGGAGGGCATTCCAAGCCTGGCCGGATCCACTGGATGGCCGTCGTGCAACCCACGAAGAACCCCTGATTTTGGGTGCAGTCGACTCAAACCTTTTGGGGTGTTTCTGTGGTCCAGGTCACTCAGCTTCTTATGATGACAACAGAGTTGGTCTCTGGCTCTTGAACCGGATCGCTTAAACAAAAATACCACCAAGCTTTCGCATGGAACACGGAAACACCGCCCTCTGACCGACCGATGTGCCGGACCCGTCAGTCTGACATCGCTCCGAACACGGGATGTGCCCACGAGTCACGGGACTCGTATCAAAAGCAACAAGTTTCACGAAAGCAATTGCAAGCCAAGTAATTAGGATAAAATACACCAAGCACCACAAACACACGCATTTGGTCACCTAAAAGGACCTAAAATGTCCCAATTCTACCGGTGTCTGAGTGAATCCGGGGGTCACTACACTCCAAAGAAACCCTTCTTGCAAACAAAGACACTTAAGTTCTGCAGCACCAGACGTTCAGGGTGTGCAGGATAGCCTTGAGGCCCAAGGCAGCGATGCGACGTCTAGCATAGCCAAAGCAACGTTGAAACAACTATGCCAGGACCTTCAAAGGACTAACCAGGATGAGGGCACAAACAGGCCCGCGAAAGGTTACAAACAAAGACTCCAAACAGGTCATGAACGGCTCAGGTCCTGGTGGATGTTCATGCATTTATGTATTTTCACTTGTCACTGCACAGGCTCCGTTAAAGTCACGCTGAAAACACGCTGTCCACATGCGGACACACTGGCAATTGGGTAGTCTGAGTCTCTTGTTGAATGCCTGCGTCACATCTCGGATATTAGCTCTCACGAAGAATCGAGCCTTTGGTGATTTCCCTGAAGCATCAGTGGTATTAGGACCGGTGGCCCCAAATGAGCTACAGTTCAAAACCTGGTAGACTATCGATTTTCGTATGCTGGATGATGGGCGTTCCCACTGAACCATCCATTTGGGAGGTTTTGGTAGCTCCAATGGTGGTTCCTCGTTCTTCTCATCGATTTGAGGTGGAGGATGGAGGCAGTCCTTCCAAGCAAAGCGGCTAAAGGAGACGTCTTTCAGCTCGATATGCCCTCGCACCAGCTCCTTGGGGATTTCCCCGCCCAAGTTTTGCAGCTGCTGCCTGCCAAAGGTCCACTTCGATCGATAGGGATGTATTATATCAGTTCCTATACCTTCCTCAGGTTTGCATGAGGTGTCGACAAACTTCGTGAACTTGGGCTGCGAACCGCAACTTTCACAACGAAAAGCATTGACACAAAAAAAACGCCGGACAAAAGGCGGATTATGCACTCCAGATAGGTAGCACATTTTGTGGTTATAGAATGACCTGAGTTAGGCCATTCTATAATATTCTATAATGGAAACATATTTTATATGCAAACAAGTGTGGAGGATTCAAAAGCTTAGGTTGCAGGTTACGGGCCACGGGAAAATCTGAAGTTTCTCTCCTAACTAATGCTCGATGTATGTCAAGGGATCTCTTCGGGCGGATTGGAGCAGTACAATGTTATACAGAAAAAAGAACATCTTCCCAACCCTCTTTCGCACTCATGACGCCCTGCTGAACACCCAGGACCTCGAAAATACCTTCGGCCCCGTGCTTCACGTCGTGATGCTGGGCGCTTAACACACACAGGAAGACGGCCTGGGTGTCCGATGCACCAACTCAAAGACTCGGGTGGCAGAGCCCAGGGCTTGCATGATGTTCGTGTAGATGTCTGCCTTGGACGGCGAAAGGCCGACATCTCCGCCAATAGGTGAGCCAATTTCGAAGGATCTGTGAGCAAACACATGATGAAGGATGCAGGGTGGGTGGGTGGGTGGGTGGGTGATGGTGGGTGACGTGTTCCTCGGTCGGCCACGAGGGTGGCGACGGATTTAGTCACGATGAACCCTGGCCTCTCTGGGTACCCATTCGAGTCGAACACAACTCTATGCGAGCTCCAGAACTCAAAAGCTGAACCGTTCGAGGCCTACGTGGCCCTGGACTCTTTGTACCGGATCAATGACACCGTTACAGTCATTGTCCCCATGACCACTGGCAAAATGCCAACCTGGCGGGCCCAACCACGATCGAAGAAAGATTAAGAAAGTGATTCTGAGAAGGTGGCCGTCCATCACGTCGAGTGAAGCAGTGGTCCAGTGGGTGTACTTCATATTTACAGTGCAGGAACTTGTTTGAGGGATACATGCCCGTCTGTTTCGAATATGGATGCCAGCCAACTAGCGCACACACACGCACACATAGCACAAAACTCCAAGGCACCAATGAATTGAAGCAACCATTCCTTGGGCCATGCACGCGAGAGCGGATCAATCCAGCCTAGTGAGAGCCTGAATCAGCCCCATGGTACCACGTAATCTGACAAGGGGCCTTTGGTTGTATCCACGGGTATGTCAGAGAGGATGAGTTTCCCGCACGTTGCAAATGGGGTCCCAAATAGGAAGCCCCAGAAACCACCGGGGAAAGGATGGTAAAGGTAAAACACAAACCCACTGCATGCCATTGGTGGGGGAATCTCCTTCCACATTCAAATGGAAAAACAATATCTTTTTTGGGGTGATCCACGGGATCCACAGTGCTCACAAAAATGGTCCAAGAACTGGTCCAGGACTGTTCGACAGCGTCCAATGGTATGACCTGCAGGCATCATAGTTCTTTGGGAAAAGTGGATGGTATTACCGATGGTGTAACAAAGCAACAAGTCAAACACGGAAAAGGTCAAACAACCGCAAGAAACCAATCGGGGCCGGACATCTGCGCATATGACAAGACGGTTGGTTTGTGTATGTCTTGGCTTGGGCAAAACATGATGATATCATAATTAATATGACATTGTCAAGAATCATGATTGTCTGGAAGCAACACTGCTGTTACAACAATCTCACAAACGGGCATCTAGAAAACGGCCTTCCATGGTATAGGCACTACTAAAGAAGTGAAGAGCTCCTTCAAACCTCCAAATCGATCTGGACCCCCTATTGCATGGCCGACGTTTGCCCTTCGCTACCCGATCCTGCCACCAGCAGCTCGGATCCAAGCGTCAAGGTTTGCAAGTAGAACACAAACGCTAGCAGCACAGGTGCCGACAAACCCTGCACACACAAACGACCTCAGGAAAAACACGCAGATCGAAAGGTGCAAAAACAGAGGGGTCCCCCCAGTTCTCACCACGGTTGTATTGAAAACCTCCGTAAGAATCCGGGCCCTCAAATAGACAGGGTTTTCGGGGTCCAAACCCCTGCCATGGAGGGTCCCAGTGGAAGGCGCCAGAGGAAAAACCGCGTTCTGGATGTGAACGCAAGGATGACCGCTCAACCTCATTTACAGCACATATATCTTGGATTGAGAGACCTAGACCAAAAACGGCTGTTGCCTGCCGCTGGACGTAGACTTTGGAACTCAACAAACAGGAAAAATGACTTGAGTAGCCTCAAGAAACATGAGAAACTGCAGTGTTACGTTGTTTCTTGCTGGCCTGAAACTATTTGTATCTGTGTGCAGTAGATCCACTTCAATAGCAGCTAGTATTGCATCCGCCTTCTGCACAACACTAGTGAATGAATTCAGGATCCAAAGCTGTTGGACTTCTGCCGGGTTGTCCTGACTTCTGCCGGGTGTCCAATCTGGAAGAGCACGAGGCAATTGGACAAGTGCGGTAACCTGAGGCGTCAGATGCGCAGCTGGTCCAAAGGGAAGGAGTTGATCTCAAGTGCTTGGACAGGTGGTTCAGGACAAGAAAAGGGCTCAGTTCACGGATCGGAGTGGTAGCTGGTATGGAAGAACTCCTGACCCCTGCTTGCAAGTACACGTCGCATGCGTATCTAGCATCAAAATGATCCGGTGCAATCAAGCATTGACCTGCTGGGTACCACAGCGGGAAACTGGGGTTCGAGTGGGGGAACAAGGAACTTTTGAAGCACTGGTGGGTGGTCTCCCAATTCTCATGGCACCCATCACGCGCAAAATTGTGCTGAACACATGGGTATGTCCTACTTTGCATGGGTGCCGCACACATGGTTCTGGCAAGGAGCATCATGATCACAAAGAGGTAACCAATGTAGACCTGACGGTCGGTGGGCGTGGGCCAGCCTCTGAAAGAAGGGGAAACAAAAAAACGGTGTCATGTTCGGACTTTGCCGGAAATGACACGACTTTCCGACTCAGAATAGATCATATGTAGATTATAACTATATAACATATAATAATATTAGATATATTATGATATATTTAGTTATAATGCATTGTATATATATATTATAAGTTAACAATATTAGGTTCCCCTGTCCTTCCAGAAGTTAAATTCCGTTGGCCTAGATTCTAGATCCTTCAGCAAGAAGTGACAAAACAACATCTCACAGGATTCGATTTCGGATCACCAGCAAGGTCAGGATGAACTAAAAATTAATGATGCCTGCACCAGTATCCTGAGATGTTTGATCTTCAGTGACGTTTCATTGTGCTACAGCCACTCATGTGTCTGTCGGACACATGTGGGGCACCTTAGCTCGGCGGCTCTCCAAGTGGTAGAACTTCTGTAAATTCTCCTGGAGTCGGAACCGGCAATGAACTCGGGTCTAGTACAGTATGTATCTAATCTATCCTATAAGCATCATGGGACCCGACCACTTCTGGAGCATCTTGGCTCGGCAAAACGGAGTCTGGAAAGTTTGCACCCCCAAAAACCATTCACCTTTCAGAGTCGATTCGGGCGCAAGTAGATGCTCCCCAAAACCTTTCGGGCGCGGGTCGGGATTGCTTCGGGTGTCTTTTCGTCGCCCAGCGAGGTACAACGGTGCGTCAGATTGGGGCCCGGCGTCAAGTCTCTCCCATCCTTGGAGGATCAGGAAGGAGGGTCTTGCCTAGTATTGCAACGGAAAAAGCATCGAGTGATTTTGCGAGGTTTCGACCTGGCCATCCGAAAAAGCTCGCTGAATTCGGTTGGATGAGGTAGCTTCACTGGAAATTGGTACTGGTGGAGTACCCTGCAAGCAAAGAGCACCCATCAGTAGCTCCAGGGGCATTGGATGGTTGTAGTATTTCCACCAAAGCTCAAGTCAACTGAATCATGTGCAAAGTATGACTTGCAATATCAAAATGAAGTGTCCCAATCGTGCTGGTCCTGCTGTTGGACAGTCCATCCAATGCCCAGTTTCACATCAGAATTCGATTTACTGGAATGCATCCCACTCCCCTGTTCCGTGCCATCAAACCGACCTTCCCTAACCATCCAGACCGATCTTCCGCGTTCGACCTGGACCGATCTTCCACTGTCTCCTGAAACCTTCGTTGCTCATAGATCTGCCCACCGAAGGTGCGCACCGTAGCGATGGAAGAGAGAGCCTCCTCGAAGGATATTGGTGGAGATCGGATGGGGATGCCGGAGGTCGGTCGCGAGAAGAAGCGATGAAGAGATGCATTGTTGTCTGAGTTGGTTTATATGGGAAAAAAGGTCTTAAAGTTAAAGATACAATCTTCACTTGTTGCTTTTTCAGTTGATGCTTAACAGTGATTTAAGCTTCAGAATTGACCCGAAGCTCAGTTGAAGAAACAAGAATCATTGCCGTATGTTTAACACATGAAGGCATACACACTTGATATTTATTTAATCTAATCTATAGCTGGCTGGCGTAAGTGTTTCTGCATTAACACATATTTGGAACCTTGCAACTGTACTTTAGCCGTGTGTGTGTGTGTGTCCACTCCTGTTTCCAAGGACACTACCCTAGGTTTTCTAATCTACCCTACAAGCTTTTCTGTACAGAAGCAGGGGGCGACAGAGTCGCTGCATGGCTGTCGCCAACGAAGCTCCATGCAGTTGACTAGGATATCACGGCTGATCACCGTGACGTACCTGCAATTTTAATACTAATTTTGATCTTCAATCGCTGAGATTTCTAAGTCAGTGCAACGCTGTCTCATACGTTGTTTCCTGCAGTATCTAAATTTAAAGGGCTAATGCACACCGCGAAGCTACCTGAAATCACGCTCCACGGAGCAACCTTCTCAAGTGTGTCTGTTCCCCTGCAGCCGAGAATCTAAGAAAATTCATATATATATATATATACAGTATAAGAGCCATTGTATCAACTGACTGTATCGTACAGCGTGTAATTACCATGCATGTATACAACTTTGAAGCTGACTGGAGCCCCAAGCTTCGAAACTGAATCCTGTAATCCCAATGAAACAAGTAGAACCCTCACCCATGATGGTGACTCAAAACCAAAAACAGGGAAGCGGCCTTGGGCGGGGGAGCAGCTGGCACCACACACCTGCCCAAAGTCCTGATTGTTCAGGGGAGCAATGCTCGGGTTGCCACTGAAAAGGCTAGGAACTTGATGTATGGAGCGAGGGTCTATGAGTACAGTTTGTTCAAACATGGCAGATGTTCAGTCCTCTGCTACGGCATTGGCATCTGCAAGCTTTTGTTGCGTCTCTTCGGAAAGCTTCTGCATATAGTGACCTTGGTGCTGATGGCCCCAATGGTCCCAAATCGAGCCTAAAGGCAGTCGAAGCTTATCAAGCGCTGTTCCGGTTCCGGGGCGTTTCCAAAAACATACAGGAGATCCGTTTGAAACCTATAGGCCTGGTCAACATCGGGCTAACCCCAGGGGAAACGAACCACTCTTGCAAAGTGATTGAGCACCGAAGACCCAAGACCCTCTTCTAAGACTGTTTTTAGTGAAAACACTCCTCCTGGAAGTGTTTGTGTAGTACCTCCAGACCAATCGGTTATATGTGGTTAGCACTTGAGCCGCAACCTTGCCTAAGTTCCCGACCAAAAGCATCTGCAATGTATGATTCTCACAGGCACCAGGGTTAATTTGCATATATAATTAGCGAACGGTTTATATGGACTCTCAGGGTGAGTTGGTTGGCCATCTCATCTTTTTCGAGGGAGACTTAAGCATGACGATGGTTGTGCTTCCAAAAGCTCTGAATTTGTCGTTCAAATTCTTGCACAATGTGATGTTCAACTCACAGGAAACCACAACATGTCATATTGTTGGCACGGTTTGTAGCACGTCTTCCAAGACTTCAGCAACAGGATTGTGCACGAGGCTCTGCGATAAAACCATAAAACGTTATTTAAAAGTGAAAACAACATGTTGTCAGAAGAGTATTTGTTGCCTACTAGATTCTACTAGATCCTACTCGTCTTGTCATGTGTTGTGCAAAACAGAACTGTCTTTCTGGCAAACACTTGAGGCCAGAGGGGGTGAACGAAAGCTAGCCGGGCTTCCGGTGGTCTGCTGCTGGTGCTGCTGCTGCTGGTGCTGCTGCTGCCGCTGCTGCGCTGGGCGCTGCTGCGCTGGGTGCTCTGCAGGCGCCGGGTCGTCTGCTGCTGCTGCTGCTGCTGCCGCTGGGTGGTCTGCTGCTGCTGCTGCTGCTGGTGCTGCTGCTGCTGCTGCTGCCGCTGGGTGGTCTGCTGCTGCTGCTGGTGCTGCTGCTGCTGCTGCCGCTGCTGCGCTGGGCGCTGCAGATGCTTGGTGTGCTGCAGCTGCTTGGTGGTCCCGCTCACCGCGCGCAGGGGGGAGTCGAACCGCGGGGGGGGGGGGGGATCCATAAGATTGATTTAATCAATTATTTGAGGTTTCTGAGGTGCGTCCACCCCGTCACTTAACTTGCTAAAGCAAGAGCAACTCCAGCTAGCTAAGGCTAGCTTTCGTGACTAGGGATTGCCCTCGCCTCATCTTTGTCAAATCATGGGGAAAGGCTTAAAATCTTCAAATCCACAACAGGAGCACTTACAACCAAAAGGCCCCGTTTTCCCTTACACCCACCCGTCCTCCGCCCTGGTCTAAAATCCTATCCCTCCACCCCACCTCCAATGGCTCCGGCCCCCGGTCCCCCGGAATACCACGCCGGTCCCCCCACCCGTCTGCCGCTCCGCGGCCCACGCGGTTCGAGAGAACGGCCACCAGCGGCACCGTGGCGAAGGAGATCATGGTCAGCTCCGTCGAATAGGACAGCCTGGCCACCAGCCGCACCACCGCTCGAGCGGTTGAAAAGGACCGGAGGGTGCGGGTGAGCCATGAGAGACGGAGGTTGCGGTGCACAGTGGACACAACCCCCAGTCCATCCGGAGGAAATTCCCGTCGACTGCAGTCCAGAGCGAATGCCGTCGATCCGGTGCGAGATGAAGAAGCAGGTGGGTCAGCCCCGATGAAGAAGCGAGATCATAACTCTCTAGGACCCTAGGAGCTGCTACACGGACGCTCTCCAAATATGCACGGTAAAAAGGCAGAATTCCTGTCTCAACCCCCACCCGATCAGCTAACCGCAAACGTCTGGGCGCACATAAAACACAAGGTCGCCACCAGCTCGACCACCGTGCGTGAGAAGAAGTTTACGTTGAAGGAGACTTGGTCAGCCACACGTTGACCTGCCGAAGGAGTGCGAAATCAGTGATGCACACTAGGGCCGGGGCCATCAGGGTGAATGCGAGGTGTGCCTTGTGCATGTGATGGATCAGCTTCCGCAGTATCTTATGTGCGTATATATATATATGTTATTGTGTTTTAGCGGCAAATCTTATTAGTTTAGCTGACAATGCTAGACAAACCCAGCACAAGCGCCAACGTGATGAGATGCTGTCCCTGCCTTTCAACTGTGACTTTGTCACTCTTCCTGATAGCAGAAGCCAGTGTTCAATAAGGGGCTTCAGGTTGTTTTGTTGTTTCCATTTTGTTCTATGCTTTTTTTATTGACCAGTGATCCACGAACTCGTGGCTGGACTCGCCAAGCTTTTCACTGATCTCATCCGGTGACGATCAAGGCCCAAATCCAGCTTTGTGGCATTGTGGAGACCTGCGTTACTTCACAATACGCGAGTGCACCCCGGTCTGTACAGCCAAGAGCGAGTGCATGGCGATTATGATTCCCTTGCTGCCCAGGAATCTGAAAATCTTAGAATCACAGTAACAGAAACTCGATTGTCAAACAACAAGTAGAAAAGACTTGTTGGATGATCTTCTGTCTTGAGCACACCCTGATCTCTTCATACTAGTCTGTGGAACCCGTTTTCTGACCAAATCCACTGGGATGGCCAAGTGCCCAATCGTCGTGTTCTTCCGCTCTACAGGTCGACAACTTTAGGCAGAGGCCAAGCGCAAGGTCGTCTGGCAGGGTGATCGCTTCAAAATACACAATGGAATAGCTACGTATAGGTATACAAGAAGCCCTTTTATTCATGCCTGCTAGAAGTCACCAACCGATCTGTCTGCATGAAGCACAAAGAATCTGAGTGGCTATCCCAGGCCAAGGCCAAAGGCTCATCCTCAAGGCAAATCACTCATTCTGGTCATTGGCTTTTGTGCGATGATCTGCCAACTAGTGGTGAAGAGACCCAACCTTGGGAGGCCGGGCCAAAGGCGGCCAAACACCGTCCTTCGAATGAGTTTTCCAAGGATTTCCAGAACCGGACTCTCCAACACATTGGCCCACAACTGGGGTTGGGCCATTGGATATATCTCATTGTCTTCTGCAAACTTAATAAGAAGTACTTTAGTTTTTACAGTATATGTTTTTATTGAGCAGTTCAGTGGGAGCTAGTGGCCTACCAGTCGGACACCTCTTTATCCTATCGATCCTCATACAAACCAGCTGTGTCAACACCCCCCCAAACGTTTTCAGCAGTTTGCCTTCATGCTCCCAGGTCACTTGTCCGCTTCAACGAAGGCCTCCCCATCCTTGGTCAACCGTTCAAAGAGTGTCAAGAGATGGGAGGGGACCACGTGGACCTTCGTGAGCGCTGACAGGAGCCACCTGCGCGGCCGCGCGTGGCGCAGGTGGGACACTGGAGGGCTGGAAGGATCGGCGGGGGGGTCGGGTTACATGGAAGCGTACCGTATACCTGTGCATATTTGAGTGGGAGGACACAATGAGAAAATGACAGTGGTTGGTTGGTGACGGGGGGGATTGTGCACCCTCTAACCGATCACTGCTCGTTGTCTTGTTTTCGCCTATCTGACCGTTGAGTTGATTGAGCTAGAGGCTCAACTTGTTGTATAGACTTTGACATACTTTGACCCCATCTGGCCCCTCATCTTGAAGGTATGGTCATCTGGGTCTAGAGAGGAGGATGGTCCACTGGTGATCACTGGCGGCCTTGAGCTACTAGCTGTTTGAGATGACCAGGCCATGAGGCTCAACCACCTGGCTCTAAGACCGTGAGTGGGCCAAATGAACGTGTGAACATCTGCGAACCGATACGCTTCTGAGCGGGTGGAAGTTCCAAACTTGTGAGTTGCTCCCAAGTATTGGGATGCTCCCAACCTTGTCTGTCTAAGAGTTCCCTTTGAAGGTCTCTGGCTGTGTTGGATTCTTTAAAATCTGAAGTTCGCAGAAAGATGTGCTGTAACGGACAGCTCGACTGTGAACGGATGGCCTAACATCTGGGGAGTTTGCTTTTTTTTGTTGCTCGCTCGTCTCCAAGATTTGGAGCCTCCTTAACACCCTTAACCATGGTCTATCCGTCCCACAGAAACCACAGAAATGGAGATCTTCCCGCAAAGAGAAACATTGAAATCCAAAAACCAAGGACCGTTGGTAAGAGAACAAATAAGCAACAACTGAGTTCATGGGGTCCCTGCCTGTTCAATTTCCATTTGAATACAGCTTTGTCACTACCAAAAGACAGCCAACCAACTGCCCAGGGGTTCGCCAGCGGCCTCGTCGCCACGAAGAAGGTCTCGGCCTTCTCGATCAAGGGGTATTGATGCCTCGCTTGAGTACAGGATAGAACGACCAGTTCCATGTTGGAGAAGTGCAGTGTGGATTCTGTAAGACTCCCAATCCAAATCATTCCCTATACTTCAGTTCACCAGTTTTCCACCAGAAGAACCCAATACTCGAACAAACAACTGCCTGTGAATGGCATTCACACCCAATCAATAAAATACAATAAAAACGATTTCTAGACCAACATCCAGGGAATATGGTTAAAACTTCCGGCCCAGTAGTGGGGGATGCTTTGGTTTTGCTTGGCCAGGCTGCAAATGGTTGGCTTATCGTCCTTTTCCAAGAGGTGAACTTCTTCCTAGCTATTAGAGGCTTTTGTCGGGCCTCGCTTGGCCAATCCAATATGGACTGAACATAGAAGTTCCACCTCTAAGGACTCCCACCAGAGTTGATTTATACTTACTGGGGATCAACAAAAGCAGTTCCTGCTTTCAAAGGCGCTTCCCCACACTGGCATCTTCACTCGACAAGATCTGAAATCCTCAGCGCGACCCGGGCCCTCGCGCGACCAGTGCTAAACATGTTATATCGAGGTCACCATGTTGGTCGGCTTTTCCCCAAGCTACTAGTAACATTTTGGGCATCGCTACGAACGGAGCGCTCATGGCCTTACTACGAGTAACAAGAGAAGGGATCCTGTTGGGTTTCCAAACCGTGCTGCAGCACACGTGGCGAATGTCCTCTGTAGACAGCCCCTAGAGCTGTACATGTTCTCCATGTCTAGACATGCATGGATATATGGCTGTGGGTCAAAACCAGGATAACTTAATTGTCTTGCTTGACCTACCTGGAAGGTCAAGCTACTTCTGCAGGGTTTGACCCATCCCCATATGTTTTCCTCCCCTCAAAAGGTAGCTGCTGATGGGTGGCTTGCGCCCTCTTGACCAGTGGGAGAAGCGGGCGACCAAGTGGGGTTCGGCCTCACCCGGCACCGGTCATCCCGAAACGTGTGGGTTCACTCTTTGAAACAAAAAGATGCGATCGGTTATAGCGAGTAAGTCACTCATGGCATACATGCTGTTCTTGCTGGTGTTCCTATCCTCATACGAATAATGAAGAATAGACATGTCTCTTCATTTGCTCATCCGTCTAAATGAGCTCGGCAAGCTGCTGAAGGATCAAGGGGCTGTCTGAAGGATCAATCCAAATCATAATGTAATAATGTGGACTTATTATCTGAGGGATGGGATCTCTGAGAGATTTACTAGTAGCTTCTTGTTCCTAGCAGCGATGGCCTCCAACCTACTTGCAATGGCCTCCACCTAATAGCGTCCTTGCTAGGTTGGCTAACTCCGACACACTTCCTGGTCCCGAGACGAATCAGAAGTTTCACTAATCCTCTGACTCAGTCACGAGACATAATAACGAGACATAGCCTCCCAGGTCAGGAGGGGCTGAAGGATGCTTTTGATTGCATATTCCTTAGGGCAACCCCCAGGTACCTGGTCTCGGAGAAACAATTCTTCAAAACAAAGGATTCAAAGGAGTGGACAATTACTTTATAATATGGGACAATTCCAAAGTATATACATATAGCGAGGATCATATTGATTGTTCACTTTTCGCAATGCCTCCTGTCTTTAGACCCTATGGGCGATTATGAATCAACGCATACCCCCTAGGGGTGCCTATAGCATCAATGCACGCCCTTGAAGGTATATTGGTATAATGGAGTTCTCGTCTCACCGATTCGTTGAACTTCACAGGACCATGGACGTCCAGTTGAATCGCCAGGGTGGGAGGACTATGTCCCTGGACATATGTAGTGCTGTTGACGGGCATGTGTTGCCACCCCCCAGGTCCACCCGGTCACCCTGGGTCACCCGGTCGCCCGGCCACTCCAAGGCCGAAGCTCCCGCTTTCTCCAAGGCCTCCGTGAAGTCTGAGGGCTTGGGAGTCCACACAGCGCCCAACACGGGCTTCACCTGGTGCCACCAGACTCGTGCAGTTGTTGAAACCAAAGCGTTGAGCGGTTGAGTTGTTAAACCACCTGCTCAAGAGCTTCTCTTTGGAGAAAGCTGTGCTTCCCCCCCCATAAATTAAGTAAGTGCTTCTTTGATTACATGTTATCACACTTTTCCTGCGTAGGACTGGGGATGCTTGGATCAAACCTGATGTTTTCTGTGATCTTCGGCTGTGATGTGGGGAGTGAGTGTGCTGTGTTGCGGGATTAAGGTGGTCACGTATGTGCACCTCTTTTGAGAGGTGGATTTCAGAGTCGGTGGTTGCTTTTGGCAAAAGTGAGTGGAGATGGACCAACAGCCTATACCAGCACCACCCAAAGGGTGGTTTATAGAACCCCTGAAAATATCTTGTCCATCCAAGAACCACCCAAAGGGTGGTGCGGGTAGTTCACTCATGTTCACTCTACATCAGGTCTTTCAACTGACTGGTTGGTGTCACTTCCTCGCTCTTCAACTCGCAAGTTGGATCGGTCTGCTCCGGTCTCGGTTCGGTTCCGCCCAGGCGAAAGCGTCAGGACCCCCTTCACCACCTTCCTCAGGAGCTCCAAGTGCTTGGCGTCTGAAGAGTTGAAGGCTGGCAATTGGACATAGTCCAGGAAGGACAACTTACCGCCAGGTTTCAGAACTCGGTACATCTCCTGTTCACACATGACGATGTCGACGAACCAGAGGTGTCGAGCTGGTGCATCTGCGCGACTGAGTGAACTTGAAACAAGCGCTTCAAGTTGAGGAATTCTCTTCACCTACAAGTTCCAAACAAAGGACGAGGTTCGCTGTCAACTCCTCTATGAAGTATCGTGCCTGTTGCCCTGAAAAGGGAATGGGTTAAGACGGGGAAGTATGATGGACACAAGATGCATAACACTCTCAGCTTGGGATAGCTTGGGTATTCACTTGAATGGCCAGGAGACAGCAGGTGTTCTATCAGGGAAGCGTAGGCAAGTATGTGTGGTGTTTTGTTGCTGCATGTATCTCTTAAGCAAAGCAAAGCGCCTTCCAGAAACTGGATTTTGTGCCACCTCACCACTCGGGCGTTTGCCCACACCACTGTGCAAGAAACACACCCAAAACCGAGGCCAAACCGGGCGTTGAAAGGCTCGTTCGTTGGTGTGTGTTTTGGAGTCATGTCAGTAAACTGCAGCAAAATGAGGTCGGACGGAGATCGCCACCTCGGCGGAGATCGCCACCTCGGTCGGGAGAGGAGCCGGGTCCCAGCCCCAGCGTCCTTGAAGAGCTTGACTGCGTCGATGGTGTAGGTCAGCACCTGCACTTGGTACAAGGCATCAAAGGTCTCGTCATCGAAGGGCAAGGGGTCGTTGAAGTTGCCATGCACAAAAGATAGCTGATGCTCCTAGGCTGACACGAGCGAGCAAAGTCAACTGTTACCAGCAAAATTTGAATCCGTCAATCCTTGGTGCTTGGTACAGTAAACAAAAGGATTGAACAAAGTTAGCTTGGCTTGCGCATATGTTAGTCTTTGTCTTCGAAAACACATAAAACTGTTGGTTAATTCAGCACGGTTGAGCCTGGCCTAATTTATCCTTCCTCAAGGAACACACAACACATTTTATGTTTGACACCAAAATACTTGGAATTTGAAAAAGATGCCCTCGTTGAACTGCCGGAACTGGCTCTATGGACGCCACTCACTCCCAGGACCACCCAAAGAACAGCTAGCAAGCCAGCAAGATATGATTTCGACTTGGGCAAGATATGGATGTATATTGAGATACATATATAAGATTATATAAGTAAGTACAAAGACCCACCAAAAATTTCACCCGGGATCTTGACCAACCAAACTTATCCAATTGTCTCCATGGGTTGGGGTGGGGTCTCCTCTCCGGGGTGGAGACCCCATGGGGAGACCCCACGTCAACTCCCAAGGCCCGACGGTCCCATCGGTCCCAGAGGCTGTCGGTCGGTCGAAGGGATGGCCCAGAGACGGCAAACGGGCGGGCGGGCAAGCCGTTTGGGCCGTTTGGGATGGTAGATGATGGTAGCATAGGATGCATGGGATCGTAGCCCAAAGCATCCATGTCTATGGAATAGTTCATTCATGTTATAGTTATATATATTATAGGTCATACAATGTCATACATGGGGTTGTTGAGTTGTTGAATATATCTCACTATTCAAAGTCCCAGGATGGTACAAATCTCTGCCGAGGGTCCATTTGAGTGATCCTGGCATGTTCCTTGGCCATCTTCAGCTGAGAACGGTCGATGTTCAGTCCAGTGACCTGAAGCAAAAGACTGTCGGGGCCGGAGCAGGGCGGATCAACGAGGGTGACTTCTCCGAATGGCACCATGCGACCTGTGACAACGATGCAGGACAGACTCCGCAGCTGGATGTCCACTGGACAGACAGAAATGTCAGCATTGGATGTCCCACTCTATCCGACTGCAAGTCTTCGCTCCACCAAACGACCCGGGTCCAGGTCTTGGAAGTCGCACCAAACGACGCCGTCCCCACCGAGTCCTCTCGTGGTGGGTCCGTGCTGACCAGCGACGTGGGCACCCGAAACGCTGGCAACGTGGTGAGCCACACGGCCTCGCCCACAACCCACGTCCAAGACCTCCAGCGTCGAGGGGAACGAGATCCCATGGGTTCCTTTCAGTTCCTTTCCACATCGATCGCGAAACAGCCTTGACTACAATGTCCGTGGTGGTGATGTGTTGCGAATCATGGTCAATCACATCTAGGGCCGGTGTGTCGTAGTGGCTTTTCTGGGAGTCATGGTTGGGATGCAACCAAAAAAGGTGTTCCATGGTCTTGAGGATGTCGTCAGGACTTTTACCTTTTGTTTTAGTGCCACTGTGAAGCCCGGCTGGTCCACTTCCCCTTAATCAAACAGCACTTCCTTAGAACCACTGTTGCTAACAGGCATCAGTTTCATTTGGGGCGCCCAAGCAAGAGCGTTACCCATCCAGGCAAAGGGCTGTACGCGAAAGGGATCTAACATGTGCCGCAAAGGCAGGAATGCGGGGGCTGGTGATCCATATACGGGCTGAGGTGTTTCTCCAATTCGGGGACCCCCCCCTTGTCATTGCATTTCCCACTATAAATCTTGGCCGCTCAGGGATGACTTGGGGGTCCCCCATTTTAAGAACCTCCACCGGTCATTCGCCAAAACCCAGCCGAGAGACTTGAGATGCTGGGCCCAAGTCCAACTGGTCAGCCAAGCCTTTTTCCTCCCACATGACCTGAAATTGACTCCGGAGGTTCACACCCCGAAACAAAGCAGTTTGGCTCATTGACTCAGCGCAATTGGTACGAAATGAACAGCACAATAATAATAGAAAAAAAAGTCCTGGCTGTTTCATGGAGCCACTTATGGCCAAGTACCAACCCACCCACCCAGCAATGCAAGTGCATAATTGTTGTCACTGCTATCCTTCTGTGGTGATCATCGTGGGTGTTGTTGTTCTTGCCGTGCATGAATCAATCTCACCATTCTTGCCATTAGGTGCAGCAGTGAACACAAACCACCAAAACAGTGAAACACAATCATCTATGATAGGAATTGATAGAACATGTTGTTCCATTTGTCAACTTCAGGGTGGCCATACACCACCTCCATGGCGCCAACATACCCAGACCGGCAGGTTCCAACTAACAATAGAGTGAATCACAGTGAATCCAATGGGTTCAGCTACCACAGCGGTGTTTTTTCAGGGCCAAATTAAGTCACGTTAAAGATACAGATACACCTCACGGAACAATTCCCTGATGCTAAGCTTGCGAGAATGGGTGAACAACACCTAAACATCTTGTCTGTTGCGAGAATCGGTGACATGCGGTGACAACATCCTCGCCTGGTTCTGGAAGATGCTTTGGTTGGCATCTACCACTGGAGGGATGTACATCTTTTCAACTTCACCCACAGCGCAAAGATGGTTGAGCACCTGATAGTAGTTCACAGTGCTCTCGGCTTCTTGGTTCTGGCCCGTGACATACTCCTGCTCGAAGAGCTTGTAGGAGTCGAGGAAATCTCTCACGTGCTTCTCCGGCAAGGTGTATATGGCTTTGAGGGCACGAAGAGAGGTCGAAAGCCGGTACCACAAAAGCTCAGGCACTTGGCCCCAACTGCTGGCAACCGTGGCAATGGCCACCACCACCGAGATCAAAAGCCAAGAACGCAGCATAGCAGATTTCCCAGGGCCAAGGCGGATGCGGAGGACTGGGGAGGAGGCTCGGCTTGAAATGGCTCAGAAGAGATGAAACTTCTAGATGGGTGAAACATCTAATACTATATAATATAGTATATATATATGTGATTATAACTGATTATATATATATATATTATATATATATGTATTATACATGATGGTGCGCGCATTTTCTGTTCATCCACATCAGGAAGCACTAGTGTATGATAATAATGCAATGACTGCCACTCTGACACCATCCTGGTAGGCTTCTGAACTTCTTGCAAGCTTGCCACAAAGACATACTCTTACACCATCCTGGTAGCTTTGGAATCCAGAGGTTCAGTTGATGATGCATCTAGGGTTTTCATGCACCCAAGCTGAACCCTCCAAAGCCTTCTCCCTCTGGAGTGATGGGGCTGCACAACACTAGGCCAACTGGTACTATACCCACTTCACCTTCCAAACCACCTCACACACGCACACATCTTCCATCGCATGGGTCTTCCGGACGTCTCCGCGACATCTGGGCTGGCCGGCAGTCTTGGGTGAGGCGCCAGGTAATCTCCCCCGTCTTGGTGGTATCGAAAAAGCCCACTTCCTGCCTGGGCAGCTCTATTTCTTTTTTCGGAACCTCACAGGAACATGATATTGCCCGGAAGAATCACATGGAGCCTGAAAATGGACCTGAAGAGGAGACTATAGCTTCCTCCACAAACCAGTGGTTTTCAAGTTCCATGCTACATAATTTTCCAGGGCGTATATAAAAGAACACGACTAGCATGGACTACATGCATCCATTCTCAAATGTACAAGACAACGAGAAGAAACAAACTGAGAACACATACAAATCAATATAGACTCTAATGCTGTTTTGCACAGAAAAGAAACAGGACCGACCCCTGCACTCCCTCAAACGCAGCAAAGCATATATATATATATAAACCGGTACAGTAGGTACCACCAACGACCCATACGAATGTGTGCGCTACTCATCCGCATAGAACTCCACAACTCTTGATCCAATCAATTGATTCTGACCGGAACCAGTGGTTTTCGACATGTGGGGGATTCCTGGGCCAAAGGTACAAGTCTAAGTAGGAACTTGCTCCTTTGATCTCCTTGGGGATTAACATGGATTAACAAAAAAGGTGACCTGCAATCGGCCCATTTCATCAATTTAGATCAATTTAGTACACATTCCTGAGGCACTTAGTGTACCGATCGTATCACCGAACTGAAGCTGCCTCAAGTGGATTCAGATTCTGATTACCACTGAACACACCCGGGTTCCAGCTGCTTCAGTCTTGGATGTGAGACGCCTTTAAGTTTGCGTGGAGTGTTAGCTACACGATCTCCAAATCCAAAACGCAGTGCTCCCGAAGAACTCCTGGTGGCTCCCGGTGGCCAACGGTCGCCATCCCAGCTCCGACCTCCGACCTCTGCGAGTTGCTTCAGAAGAGATTCCAAGAGCTGCCTTCGCAAGCGCACCGAAGCCCTTGCACCGATGATGATGAAGCATGCACCCCGCAGCGAGGAAAAGAACGCTCCTCTGCGCTGGCTAAGGCCGTGAAGGCCCCGAGGCTTTGCGAAAAAAGAACGCCGGAGAATGTTTGTGGCATCGTGGGCATTGCTCCATCTCTCATCCTGAGAAAAGGGGGGAGTGGAGATCCTCTACTCATTGCCTCTATCCCAAACGCAAAAGTAATTTGCTACTCATTCCTTCATCCATGGCCAATTGATTGTCATCACTCTTAGAGGGAGGCTACATTCCCTGAAGCCAACGGAGTCCCCCTGATTTCTACAACTTGGATGTTCATGCTGTGGCATTGAAAGGTGTCATGGACGGTACAGCCTGCAAACATGTACAGCACAAGCATGTAAAAACAATCTTTAAAACACACAAAAACAATCCCTGCACTCACTAAGAGCCAACGAGCAAGGTTGAACTCAACAGCATTTGACCCGCTATGGTTTTGAGATGTTTTGAGCATACAAGTCGTCTCAGCATAAAAACATGGTCCGCAGGGTGGTGCATGCTAGCGCTTAGCAAACAAAAGCCCTCCAGTGGGTCGACCGCTGTCTAGCTTGCGAGACTGCGAGTCATGCAGCCATGAAAGGAAGGATCTGTCCTGCGATCGCTGCAAGCAGCAAATTCGACAAAGGGCCTGTAAACGTGGAGACTGCGAGCTGCCCAGATGCTTGCCTGGGAGCAACGGATCGGTTGGATGAGCATCAAACGCGTGGACCGGACCCGACCTGAAGCGTGAGTTTTGGGCGGCGCCTTCACGTGCACATCGCCCTGGGGAATGTATAGACAGCTTAGATGCTCCCATTTCAGTGTAGATGCTTCCCCTTGAATCGGTCCAAACGTTGATATGCGCTTGTCCTAGAACTTGTTGCTGTGAAAGTACCCTTCCACAAAGCAAACATTACCATTGGTGGTCATTCAAATACCTGGGCATCCCCACTCTGACCCTGCAACTTGTACACTAGAAAAATTGGACTTGACTCCAACAAACAGCACCTGCCACGGCCACCTGCACAACAGTACAGCTTGTACCACTTTCCAAGGTACGGAGGGGTTTGGGAACAAATGCCTGCAACCTCCTCATGTGCACTTAGCCGGCTCTCCCCTCTGATGCGGTGCGATGGCCAAGCCGCCCATCGATGATGGCCTTGAGCGTCTCGGACAAGCAGTGTGGAAGGAAGGCCTGAAAGGAGAAAAGTGGAGGCCTGAAGGCCTGAAGTGGAGTGGAATATCCAAACCCAAGGTCCCAAGGAATACTCCTTTGGAATTCCCAAACTGAGGGGAATATCCAAACGATACTCCAAGACGCATAAGACACTCGAGGCCTGTAGCCTGTAGGGGGAAGCCTCTAAGGCAAAGTGGAACGGAGTACATACGACGGAACCCATGGGAGGTTCGGACGCATACCGATGCTGTATACGAGTCGGACGCATACCGTGGATGATCTGTGGATGGCCCCGGCCCCGAAGACTCGGAGGACCAGGTGGTGCTGACCAGCAAGACATCCGAAGACCAAACAGCTCGGATGCTATCCACGGTTCCCGTGATTCACCATGGACGGACAGCGGGATTCATGTTCTTCCAAACCCCAGTCAGTGAGAGATCACGTTCCTCTACGGCACACGATCTAATGGACTGGTGACTCAACAGCATTCAGGGCTCACATGGGCAATCATGTTCGTCACTGAACGACCGACATGAACATGGATGATAACACATCACAATACCCACAAACACAGAAAAGGACTTGATTCGTGCTGTTGGTGCTATGATGTGCGTCATGACACAGTCCCTGGCTGTGGTTCATGGCACCAGGAGACCGACCGGTTGACCTGCCCTACCGACCGGTTGACCTATACCGTACTCGCGATGTAGAACGACCTGGACCAGGTCTCCGGGTTGAACGACCGGGTGGAAGGATCACTTGATGAAAGGAAACGACTGACACGTCGACCGACACCTGGAAGCTTTTTCACGCGACACGTCGACCCGCCACATCAGTGTGGTTCACGTTTACTTTGCCGCAAAGATCAGTCGACCCTCTGACCCGGTTCTCACCATGGTGGCTCATTCAAAGACAACAAACAATGCTAAGCATGTCGTGATCTGTCGTGCCAGTGGCACACCCGAGCCATTTACGCATCATTTTGTCCGCTGAATAACGGACAAATTGTGCGTAATCCTAAACCTATGGGTGGCATCCCTCCATGTGTTGCTGGGTCAACCGGGGTCCGAGCTTGTCCTGATCCACACTACACACAGATTTTGTTGCGATGAAAGTGACCGAAGACTGTTTCATGATGTTTTATGCCCTCATTCCTTAAGTCCTGATATAAAACATGTTCAGCACTACCTTCTCAGCTGGATGGTGCTGGTGTTTACATCTCATCCCCCCTGGTTGGTTGCCTCTGTCCCTGCCGTCCCTGTCCTCGCCTGGGACACAGCGGCTCCCACCAAAAAGCAAAGAGCCATGCCCAGCAGTGCATGGTCCGGCCACAACAGGGCCATGAGTCGCCTAGAGGAACGAAGCGACTTAGAGCAGTGCTGCAAAGAACAAATCCCTGGGAAGTCGCCTGGGAATCTCACTGAACATTGACAACTAGTCATAATTTGTCCCAACTGGTCTATCTTGGTCCCAACAACCTGGCAGCTATGAATTGCCTAGCTGTTTGAAACAAGTGCGCTATAAGCGACCGGACCCACAAGGTCCTTTTGTTTTCATGGACACCCCAGGGCCCTGTTGGTATCGAAGAAGCGGTGACCGGATCCACCGGAACGCTCCCAGCTGATCATGGGGTCTGACCGGTCGGTGGGCGAAGAACGAAGAGAACTTGCCACTTTTCGTTCAAAGAGTTTGTTCAATTGCCAATCCCAAATCCAAGGTTGGCTAATGTGGATCTGATCCCAAGCTATGGCTTGTACCCCAAAAGTGGAAGGGTATTTGACAAGCACTCAGGGCATGAATCTCAAATGCATGTGGGGTCTAAAACCCCACACTCGCCGTCTTCAAGGCCCCAACACTGAGCCCGATCACATAGGACATGAGTTTTGTTGTGCGATAGTTGAACCATTGCCAAACTCACGCCAAACTCCCATGTACCAACTACCAACTTTCCCAAGCCCTTTGAGCCTATCTTCTCACAAATGAGTTGGACCCGACTGTGTCCCGAGAATGACGTTTTGATTTGGAAGGAATGAACAAGAAACTGCGCACAGGCTTTGGAGAGTTAGCCTTTTCACCACAGTTCAAGTGCCCTAAAAGCCTCGTACCCCCGTCAGTGATTATCCCCAAACCCTCCATCTATGGCATATTTACCCTCCTGCAGCATATTAACATTCACCCTGAAAACCACTGTGTAGTCTTACAGGGGTTCATTTTCGCGGTCCATGTTAGTCTGCAAGGGGTACCTACGTTGACCCTGCAAAGCACCCCAATGTATGTGCTAGAATGTGGGATGACAACCGGCATGGGTCATTCACCTGGAGGACTCAATGCCACTATGCCAGACACCAAATGAGCGGTGTTCAAAATTGTGTTGTCTTTTCTTGCCGAGAAATCAAGCCTTACGGTAGGCCTTACGCAAGGCTTACGTTTCTCTATGTTTTGCTTACGGCGACACATGTATGCATGGCTAGTCTTACGTTGTGCTTACGGCAGAGGTATGCAAGTCCACTGTGTGGTCACATGTTTTATGTTGTTGCAAGATACCATTTTCTTTCCATATGATTTGTTTTAATGGAAACTGTATGGTTTCCTGCTTGTACTCTTCCATTTCCATGGTTTCAGCTCTGTCAGAACGCAAGCTTCTTCAAATATATTTGGGCAACAAATTCCGCTTCCGGTAGCCTTACGGCACTGTTCAAATCTGCACATCCTTACGGCAAACCTTACGGACACCTTACAAACATCAGCTAAAGTTACTGTTCTCACTGATTTTTCGCCAGTCCCTGACTTTAAAAGAAAGGGTGAATTTAGAATGCTGCTCAAATGACAGGAGGTAGGGACTTGAGGGACTCGTAGAGATGAAGCAATGTCCCAAACATCCCCCCGACGACCCCAGGGAGCGCCCCCACCCCAAGCAGTTAGCGCCGTTTTTCCCCACCTCACCGTCGGCTTCTGCGAAGCTAAGCCTCGAAAGCGTTTCTGGCTGGGCACGGCTCGGCTTAGGGGTTCAAACACGCCAGAGCCCACCGGCTCAGCTTGGCCCAGAGGTGCCCTCTGGGCCGCAGCTGGTGTTCGTCCCAAAACACACCGGTCGGCAGGCCACTGTCCATGATCCATGTATGAATGATAGGTGGTCCATAATCTGGTCCTGGTTCCCTCACTTCAAGATGTCCAAAGGAGACACTCAATCCATCTCTATCCAGATCACGCCATTGGCTAGCACCTCCAACAGATCTCCTGGTATCCTGGTGGGTAGTTGGGTCTGCTAGTTCAATCTTAGTTGGTGATCTGGTTAGACGGCACCACTGTGCGTGTGATAAGAATCGGTGGTCTTTGGAGACGTGAAGGATCATGCGATCTTCGGGCCACTCCTCCATCATCTGGGACCTGGGTCTGGACCCTGTCGCTTGATCAGGTCGGAAGTCCAGCTGGCTCCCGCCAAAAGTGGTCAGTCTTGAGTCGACTGAGCTGCTTTTTCACCCGGCCATTCTCACAAAACACAAGCACACCCAAGAATATACATGAATACCCTTTTATATTAGATAAGAACATAACAATTATAGAGAAATAGATTGTATCTCTGCACACGTGAAGCAAAGTAAAACAACATCTCACCTCCCTTGGAAAAGCCATCAGCACTGCCAAGACACTCTTTTGCTCCTCGGTCTTCTGCGTCGATCGCCGCACCGACACATCCCTCAACGTGGCCAGAGCGCGCTGCGGCCAGCGCGTCCAGCCCATGCGTTGGAAGCGTGTCACTGGCGCCAAGGGGCGAGTGTGCGGCAAACGCAGGGCACCCAGCTGCGTCGGCCTGCCAGTGGCTGGCTCAAGACGTTGTTTCCCCAAACGCTCTATGGGACTGGAATATGGATCTACATGGACCCCTAGAATTAGAAACAATCCCATTTTGTCACGAAGTAATAGGAGTGACCATGCATGGAGTGTCAGGAGAAGTGACCAGAGGATGAGACTGGTTGGCTGTGGCAGGAGGAAGTCGACGGACCCAGGATTCCGGCCATCCCTTTATGAGAATGGATGTTATAGATGGACCCCTGTATACCCCTGCATATATATATATTATACATACATATATACCCTCAGCTTGAAACCTCAACTTTATAATTTACAATACATATATATACCCGGAGGTATTTACAAATATATATATATATACATATATATAGTTATATATACGTATTATTTACATGATTATATATGTATACATAATATACCCTCAGCTTCCAAACCCTCAACTCTCTATAATATACTAATACCATCTAATACCCTGAGGAATTATTTACAAATTTCTCTAGCTATAAACTCTCCATTGTTTCTTCCGACGCAAAACCACCAAGCTCCACCTCGTGGAACTGGCTGGCCGCATCGATGGCACGGCTCGCATGGGCACGTGGAGGCGCCACATGTCGCTGGCGTTTGGAGCTTCACCGTTGGACTTCGGAAGGGACAGGAGATAGGACCGAGGCTTCTCCATGATTTCCTCAAATGATGAATCATTCTTCGGAACTAGCCTCTAGAGAAGGCAAGAAGGTACAACTTCGACCACCTTTCGGTTTGCTTTCACTGTGGCCTTAGGGTTTGGAGAGCCAAGACAGCTTTGCCAAAGGCAGTTGTTGGAGTTGAATTGATGTACATCGCTTTATTTTGTGTTCACTTGTCACATGTATTTCAGTCTCGAGACCTGAGAATCCCCGCGCAGTTAGCCACGCAGACTCAAGCTGATTACATACTTTGAGCCATAGTTCCGATCAGGAATCCTCCAGAACACAATTGGTGATGGTTTTGGGGTGGTGCATGTGGGTCTATTGGAGGGTGTCCTGCAGAAGTGATGGCTTGTTTTTACCAGAGCAGGATCTTCTCTGCATGGGCCTCCAGGCAGGATGTTGAGCAATGGTAATATGCAGACCTCGTCAAGCCCCCTTAAATCAAGTGTGCCCATCTACCCTGAAGGTACGAACTTACTGTACATGTTCTTCTTGGATTACTAAGATTACTAGCTGCACATATATATATATATATTGCATATATATATAATATGTAATTGGTGTTTCCTCCGAAGAATGAAGCGACGTGTCACTCACAAGGATCAGTGATCGCACATGTCGGCCAAGCAAGTCACGTCTAATTCACAGCTTGAGCACATCGGCAGCAAATCAAGCAACCTGGATACAAGGTATGAAGAAATTGAACCTCCATACCTGGATGGACATCCCTAAGAAACACTTGGTGATCACAAACTGACAGTAAGCAAAACAGGTTGTGGGATCTATAGCAACCATGGAGGGCCGGAGGGCCATATAGTTGTGCGTTTTGATCAACTCTTCACAGAGCCGCCGGGGGTGCAAAAAAAAGATAACTGCGAGACTGTCCAATTGACCTTCGACCGTGTCGCCAGTCTGAAAACACTATGTCCATGTCCACCTTGTCTCCCGTGGCTTTTGAGGGTGACACAAGGTTCACCAAGGTTGAAGAACCGTTGAAAGCGTGTCTCGTTTTTGTACACCATGTTTGTTGGAATCACGGTCATGGCGACAACTTGTGCCCAAACTAGGACGGATCACCACGTTAGGTTTGTATGGGGTCAATCTTGATGGGAACTGCATATATTGTTTGACATGTTCAAATTTTAAGCATTGTTGCAGTGAAAGCAAGACCCCAAACTTTGATTGTATGTACATGTATATATATATATAGAGAGATGTCCAAGCTTTTTCACGTGGCTAATTTATATATAATTATATATAGGGCATAGGGATGCATAGGACAAGGTCCCGTTCACTGGGGATGTTTTCCCTTCGGCCTGCTCAACTAGAAGTCCCCAACAACGCCAGTGTCTGTGGGACAAAGTGACCGACATACATGACTGAGTCAAGTTTAAGGGGCTCAAACGAACCAAAACCGACCTCATTCCCGAGCCCCGGAAATCATGGGCTGCGCCGGGCCGACCGTCAGGGGTTTTCTCCGACCATCGGCCCGCGCGCGGCCCTCGCGCGATGGTAAACCGTCTGATCTCGGAACCGACGGTCCGAGATGAACAGTGACTTATCGATGCAGCCGACGCTCCTAGTGACCCTCACAGCAGACACTCGGTGTGGAGCGGTCGCCGACACCTTGCAGTGACTCAAGATGCCGACACCTCGGAATCTTCGTCTTCGAATGACTATAGAATCTTTCTCAAGGTGCCAGCAAAGGTTGAAGAACCCTATAGACCTATAGGTACCCCAGTAGGGCCCTATAAGGTCACTTAACCTCTGTTGGTGGAGGCCATCGCTATTAGGTTGGAGGCCATATGCCGAAAAGACCCTGAACACTTACGCAGCTCGGTGATCCCACGATCTTCCGTCGATCGTCCCTTCAGTTGGCCCATGGTTTGAGGAAGAAAAACATGCAGCGGAAAAGACATACAAAACTTGATTGATGTCCTTCAGAGGTGATTCCCTAGGACTTCTTGGGCAAAAAAAAGGCCTTTTGATCAGACAAATCGCCTTGAACAGCCTCTTTCCAGCGCAATCAAAGTCCATGTGAAACACGGCGAGCTAAATATAGAGCATGCCTGCATGCCATTCACTATGGGGGTACATCGTTTGGATAACTTTGACAATCAAACCATCTGGACTTGTATTGAAGTCCGGGAGGTGGGTGATCGGCCACCCACTTCTGCAAGGGGCTGCACCAGTCCTGGCCACAAAACACGGTCTGAATGAAGTTTGGATTAAGTCTGACCGCCAATGGTGGATTTTGATACTACGTTAGCATCTTGATGCATCAGAATGGAACAAACCAAATTGAAGCGATCAAACATGACCATTCTGCTGGGGCTTGCAACACATACAGGATTCACATGGATATTTTGATGAACCCATGAAAGCGACTGATGCACACTTGCCGCAGTGGGTTCGGGGTGGCCAATCTCTCTCTTCTTGGCCATTGGATCCCTTGTCTGCGGTCCTTAGTACATGAGATGAACATCTCGTTGATCCAAAGGCCCAAAGGCTCACTGGACCCGTTTTGACCCTTACAACTAGGGTTTCGGACCTCAAGGCATTGGCTGTTGGTTTGGGTCCAGGGTCGCTGGCCAGAATCATCTAGAATCATGTACAATCTGTCATTCGGTCGTGGATGTAACCAGTCCACCTGACAGTGTACCGTCGGTGCGATTTTGACTCTCGACAAAGAACAGGGTTAGATTCTAAGACTGTTCAACTATAGGAACGGCTCAGTCCTATATGAGTTCAACATGAGCTCTGTTTGTTATCCACCAATCAAAACTCCCAAAACTCTGTGACTGTGCTGATCTCCAGAACCATGTGTGACACAGTTGCTGTGAGAAAAGTTGTGCAATATACTCATAATTGCATAATCTTATCTGTGATTTTGAATTGAATGTTCAATGCATCACCAACAAATGAATCTGTCCTCCAAAGATGGTTAACATGCGAAGGACATGAAAGAACGTTCACCATGCTTCATGACATGGCTGTACAGTAGCGGGAGTCTCTATGACTGTCTCTATGTCATTCATGTTTTGACCCACCAGGAGTCTCTCAGCGGTTGGCGCGCTCCGCGCCGAAGCATCGGGGTCCTCTTTGGGTTTGACGATCAACTGGTTCACGAGCTCGACCAACTTCACGGCGCCTGCGTTCGACCGTCGATCGCCCAGCATGCGACCAACTAAACCCCCCAGACCGGTGGTGCTGGAGTGTTCCTTTGCAGAAATGAAGAAGCCCTACTCATTGGGTAAGACCACCTGAGCCACAGTGAGTTGCAGTGTCTGCTGGAAGCAACCCGGAACTACAATTGGATTCAGAAAAACTGCAGGACAAACAGTTCCTGTGTGGCCATTGGTACCTGTAAGATCCACATGTTGACATGGACACACTGTCGAACTTTCGAAGTGGATCAACAGGATATAGATGCATGACAGATGCACTTCTGCAAGAAGCCTGGGAGGGAAGCCGGCAGGGAAGCGAGCCTGGGAGCATGACATCCAACCACGGACTGGAGGGACCACTCCGAGAACTGTGGGACAGTCATCATCTACCCTAGTGGGGTAGTCTAGGTATGTCTAGGTGAAGGTAACCCCTATCATGGGACTTCTGTATGCCCTAGGGATCAAATGAGTTCTGACTGGACTCGCAGGGACAGCTCTTGAAAAGGACCATAAGGGACAGCTCTTCTTTTGACGCCGAGAACCCTGGTCATCCACATCACCACAAGCAGGTCTTAGCAACGTCAGTCTGGTGCCTTCCGAATCCTTGGCCGACTTGGAGAAGAGGAAGATCCTTTCAGGTTGGCCTTGGGCCGCTTCACATCGCTTCGTGCCGTCCAAGCCCCAGCGACGCGGGGCGAGGCGTGGCCAAGGCTGAACATGTCGCGGCACCCCCAACGATCCCAACGCATGGTCTTACAACTTCTGTGGCCAAATTGTGTGCTTCGCACAAGCGAACGAGACGTTGGTATTTGGAGAAGAAAGCCTGATTTGAGTGCCGCAACATAAACCAAACTGCAAACAAGACGTGGACTCCGACCAGATCCACGTCGTGAGTATGTGGAATCGGAACACACGACCAGATCCACGATCAATCCTTCTTGTTGTCGATGAATCTGTACAACTCTGTACCTGAATTTGTCTGCAACAAGAAGGATGGCCACCTAATGCTATACCTGATGCCACCTGCGTTGGATTGATTTTGCTCATAGCATCACCACTGGGGGCGGCAATCGCACCAAAGGTCATCGCACAGTCTCCGTCTTTATCTGATCGTGATGACCACCCTGAAACAACAGAAAGCTCCAGGTAGGTTCTCAACCCAACAAACATATGCATGCACCCATCTTGACATACAGGTACGTGAGAGTGTGAAGAAATGAACTGGGATTGTCCTTCACTTCGAAGTGTAATTTGCGGTGTATATAATCGTTTCCTCCTACTCCTACTTCAACAGCTCCAAGGACCATCCAAACAGGGACTCGAACTTTCCGTGGAAGTTTGTTGGAAGCTCATTGGCTTAAGCAGTCAGACTTCGCCCATCTTTGCCCCCTTGTCTCCTCGTGCCATGTAGAAGGCCAAAGCACTCACGGTGTAGCCCGCCCTGGTCAACACGAAGTCGAAGACCAAACGTGCCAAACGGCTCTGCCCATCCTTGGCAAAGTAGGAAGCTGAGAGTGACATAATCGAAGAATCAGGGATCTTACAGCCAGCACAGTCAAGCTTCCTCTGATATGATGGATTATGCTGGCTGTAATCTTGTAATCTACAATCCCTATGTGGATCCAAACCTACGCAACAGTGTCTCCAATCACCTTCTCAGAGGGTATGTGGATCCCTAGGGAATGATTCTATATACAATGATTGCAGCCAGCACATTCGGACTCGAGGACTCCTCCTTTGAGACTTGGACTGTGAGTCAAAGGGTCTCCCTGGAGGGTTCTTGTTACCACTTAAAGCAATCCAGGGTGATTCCTGCGCAACAACGAGTTGCTCCCAAACCACGACCCGATCAAGTACAAGGGTGTACACCTTGCCCAAACGAAAAACGATCCCGCTTTTCAACGGCGAACGAGGAACGTCAAAGGGATGGAAGAAAAGAATGTCCAAGTAGGCCCGGCACGCCCGCAAAGCCACGGACTCCAGTGACTTGCCGGTCGACTCGCCTGCGGACGCCTGTGGGGCCGAACGGCGGGAACTGTGGCACTGTGGAAAAACACCGTCGAGGTATCCACCTACCCACGTCGATTGCCTTCAAATCACTTTTTGGTCACCTTCCCTCTAACCTGCATGGAAACGAAGCATCCAAACAATGGTGTTGAATTGATATTCCAAAGCTTATCTTCCAATCATATTGATAAACGCAGCATCCAAACATTGTTGACCTGATACTCTTCCTCTATGGAATTCCTACAGGAATGATGCCACAAAGCCGGGAACCTTCAGCCTTCATCCAGCCTTTCACCATGGACGGAACCGATGAGATGACATGAACCAAACATGTTGGATGCCCTTGGCTCCGGGATCGTGGCGACACGTAGGCCTTGAGTGTGGCTGTAGCACCCAGCACCCAAACCCACATCTCCCAACATGATATATTTCACAAAAAAAAACAGCATGTCAGGACTGGTCCCATTGTCCAAACATAGATCAGCAGCTCAAAGGGTGAACACCCCCATGCATGAACGCATGATGATGAAGACTATGATGAAGCACAAGACAATTCAATTATAGTGTCAGGAAGGGAACACCGATTTCGAACAACAAGTTCACCGGTGGCTTCAGCCATAAGCCATCCACCCGTGTCAACGGTGGACACCGACCCATGGGACTGACAGAGTATCTCTGTGCGCCAACGGCCGAGCGAATGTTCGCGGATTCTCCTCGCTGAGAAGATGCACAAAGTCGGATTCCTGACTGGGCGACGGAACAACAAAATCAGAATTGCACGGCCCAAAGGCCAAAACGACAAAAAAGACATGCATAGTTCCAAACATGTTTGAAGGAATCCATCTATCTAAATGCAGCAAGTAACGCAAGTACAGCAAAGGTTCTTCGCCCTTAAATGAGTCCAGAAGCGTCTGCTTCATGGATTGACATGTTGACATCTGTCTGGACTCCTTTTGAGGACTTACTCAGCAAAGCATCTGTATTCCGGAGCATCGGATACCGCTCCCGGCCCTTCTTGGCATATGCGTCGTGCTCGCGAAATGCATCTTGGTTCTTCTCGCCCATGATGCAATGCTGCCACGTCAATAAAAGACTCCAGGGTTGCACGATGCAGCCATGATGTTCTTTTAGGTGGACACAACATGACAAAACGAGTAAACCCCCATTGAGGAGTCATACAAATTCGACATCGCTGGCTCAGCAGGAACTCTCCCCCTGCAGGATGCTTAAGCTGGGAGTGCATGACCTTCCATCATCTTACAATTTGGAATCATACAGAGTTCTCAAATTGGAAGACCCAAAGCTACCTTTCGTGAAATCCGGCCTGAGCTCCAATTCCTTCCCCGACAAAGCATCCTGGCGCAAGGAGATGTTGTGCCGCACTGCCACATAAAGTAAAATGCGGCAAGACCCTGGATCCCCTCATAACTGAGTGGAAGTAACCATTCCGACGACATCAAAGAATCAAAAAACTGATCAATAAAGTGGTCGTTTCGCTCAACAATGATGGTTGCCATTGAACGGGTGCAGTACTTCCAAGCTCCGCATATGCTGCCGATGCTGCCAAGACATTCCACGAAACATGACCCACTACAAGCCAGCAATCTGATACGTTGCCGTACATGGCCAATGGCCAGCTGTGGTTGAGACAGAATTTTGCACAAACACCAGGGGCCCAAAGGCCGCCGGGCTTGGGGTATCTACTAGAAGCTCCCATGGCTCCCATGGGTGCTGGTTCCCAGTCTTTTCAAGCCGCCATGGGAAACATCTCAAGTTCGGTGCAGCCGAGCACGATATAATTACCGTCAAAAGCATCTAGACACAACTGTTTTCGAAAACAAAAAACAGAAGAAAACATATATAAGATCATATAAGTCTTGTCTTAGTCCTTCTTGCAGCCAATTTCACGAAGGTTCCAGGTCTGTCCAGCTCAAGCTTGTCCCATAGAGCTGTGGATTCCAACATTTCCTAATCACCAAAATCATTCAAACACCATGTTGACCCAACAAACATTAAGCTCATTCGCTTCTGTCAAACTTGCACCCGTCCCACGCTTTCCCGCCACGGTTCCCAGCCTCGCGGCAGCGTGCCAGCGCGTAGCGCATGCGCGCGGCACGTGTGGCGTCGCGGCGCTCGTCCACGGTCTCGATGAAGCGAAGATGTGGGTCCTCCGGAGCGAGGAGGGTGGTCGGATGGAAGGGGAGATGAAGTTCGATCAGAGGTGAAGAGGAATTGCTTATAGAATGGTTAATACGTATATGGGTTTTTGAGGTGACGTTAAATTCTCAGGAACTAACTGGATCTTGGACACGACACGAGTCATGGGACTGTATCTCCAGAACTCCGATGGTCGAATGGTCTCAGCTGAACATCGTCCAACCTTTTGCCCCAAACCTGCTAAGGGATCTAACCTGAAGTGTCAAGCCCCTTTGAGGCTAAGGGATCTAACCTGAATTCACCGGAAGTTCAGTGTTTTGTGGTGTCAATGGGTGTCCTTTTGAGGCATCATACTGTACTTTTCACATCTTTCAACCAACGGAAGCAGCTTCCGTGGTTCTCGCGATGCAGCGAGGTGTGGCGCCACGGGAGTGCGATGTCAGTTCTCCCATCAGTGGCGCCTGGAAGCTTCTTGTTACTGGTAGCGATGGCCTCCACCGAGCATAGCAATGGCCTACTAAAGAAAATGTACGAAATCCACCAAAATCGGACCCAAACTTGGAGCTCTCAATCCCTCTTTCACTTCATGGCGCGAGGTGGCTCCAATTTCCAAATTTTGAAGGCGCGAGTGGGAAAACTCCAGCCTTCGCGAGGTTTCATGTTCGGAGTTCTTTCAGAAGCTGATCACCAAGAACCCCCTGAGGTGCTTTTGGAACACCAAATCGGATGAGAACCCTGCCAGCTTGGCAATTCGGTCCTCACAGCTTGACAATTCGGCCAGCTCTTTTGGTGTCTCCACATCGCTGAGCAACTCCCGTGCCTGGACCCAGTCCCTCGTGGAATCCACCTGGTTGGAGCGGGCGGGCAACAAGCGACCAAATCAACGAAACAAACGACTACACCTCTCTTTATTATAGAACACTTTAGAGACAGGGGCCAGGGGTATCACTTGAAACGCAAAGAAAGGATGCATAAGATTGCCCCATCTGTTGGAGAGCATATATGTTTCAAAGTACGTAGTACGTAGGGTCCAATGGATTTTGCTTCGTTTTGGTCACTGGGTCCCTTTTCAATTTTCTCCGCGTGATGCTGTTGGGATTGTATCGAAACCACAGCAAGGGGTGTCCAACGGAATGTCCAGGATCTAAATGAGACACTGCACCTATTTTGCTCTGGAGTTGCCTTTGCGGAGAACTCCTTCCTCCAATTGTCGTTTCGTTGGAGGGCTAAGATGGTCAAACTGAGTCGGATTATATGAGGATTTGCCGCTGCTGGAGTCCTGCTGTTGTTGAAATAAATCCCCACTTGAAAGACAGTCCAGGAGGCTGCTGCAGTTCACCTTTTCGTTAAATTGTTTGACTTCAGTCTTGGAAGTGTGTGTAAACATGAACTATTATTAAGTATGTGTGCGTTGGGAAGACAAACCGATTACAACAACTGGCTTCTGGTTTGAGTACCATTGTCAATTGGTACAAAGGCCCGACCAATTGATGTATGCTGCATACATTACTGCATGTGATAGGATGTGCATATCAGCCCTGCAAACCACCATGATCACACTACGCCAAACGCATTCTCCAAATAGACGTTCTACATAGTTTCTGAATAAAGCCTCTGGACTGTTTTTTAATCATGAAACATAGCAAAAGGCCACTATCAAGTCTAAAACCAATCGTAAGTTAATATCGACCACACAAACAAAGTATGTTGTGTCTTCAAATGTATCACCTTGCATTCTAGCTAGCTGTTTCCTTGAAAGACCTATAGAATCCTATATATATATTATATATATTTGCACATAAAGTACTCCAAAAATATGCTCAACTGTATTTCTTTTTGATTGACTCCTCTTGTGGTGCCTTCAAAGCATCCCTGCCTCGAGAGTTGTTGCTCGACCCCACTAATTGCACAGGTATATATAGCCGGCTATTTGACAACGAGCTTTGACTCAAAGGGGTTTCGAAGCCGTACATGATGTTCAGAAATTGTTGATCAAAAACATGTTGCAGGATAAGACGCACTCCACTTGAAGGGCAGTCCCGCTGGATAAAAAACACAGCAATAATATATAAACACACACACACAAAATTACATAGCAACAAATGATCATGGCCCTTGGACTTTCTGCTTCTACGGGCCTACAGGTGCAAATTTGACCATTTGACCGCTTGCTGGTCCCCAAAAGAATCCCCACTGGTCCTGCTCTTTGGAGACAAAGATCATCACGAGTAGATTGGTTCAGTGAAACTTTTCCACTCGTAGCTTACCTGGCAAACGCCTTTGGGAGTGTGCTTCCCAGTTGTATCTTAAAGGGCACTGCCCAGTTCTAAAAACTGCACGGCCAAGGGTTGCTACTCTAAAAACAAATCACCAATGGTATCTTTAGTGAACATGTGGGTCCAGCAATCTCCTGCTTTTCACTCGTTTCGCGGCAACAAACGCCTCCTGAAACAACGCCTTCGTCTCAGAGGCCACCTGTGCCACGTCGCCGTCCGACGTAAGGATCAGTAGATAGATTGAGAAATTGAACAGGTGGATTCTATATTAAATAAATTGATAGACACTACAGGAAGTCGCGCAGATTTACCACACACAGAAATACTGCAGAATAACGGGTAAGGCAAACTAAGAAATCCCAATACTATTGCTACATACGATCCGAGACCTGAACGCGGATGCATTGTACATCATTGTTCCATCGGATCCCAAATAACTTCCGTTGACTGCACACACACAGCCACAGTCTATCAATACGAAGCCACTGGCAAGAACACACACACACAAAACCCCAAGTAAAACGGATTCAAAGCAACTATATACATCGTAGGCAAGCAAGAAAACGTGTCCTTTACACGCAGCCCACTGGATTCAACCAGGTTCTACATCTAATGAACAAGATGGCTTGAGTCCAGGCCAGGCCTTCGCAGCCACTTGAGCTGCGGTGTCCTTCGGGGTGTGATAGCCTAGGCTGATAATTTAGGCTGCTTCGTCATGCAAACATGGTATCGGCACCAGTGTTGTAGCGGCCTTTGCAACATGTTTTTACATCGAATGTTTCAAAAGCATGTTTCCGGCTCCACCTTTAGATGTCATGTGGTTCTTGCATGAACATCAAGAACAGTAAGGGCTACTAAAGGATGTTGATTCTGGTAACATATCTTCGCAGCTTTGTAGGCGTCAAAACAACAGTGACATTTCGCAACGCGTGTGGTCAAAGCTTTGGCCCTCGGCCATCTGTTCCTCAGTCGCTGTGTTCCTGGAACGTTGGCTTTACGCCGGATGATTCGGAGGTATCCTTGGCAAACTGCTTGCCCTGCTTGTCAACACATCGCTTCCCCCCACCCGTAGCAAACAAGCAGAGGCAAGTTCCTACACAAGAAAAATCCACGAAGTAGCATGATGTTGTTTTCAATCACACCAAACTTTACATATACAGTATACTTTGCACCCCTCATCCATGTTTGTAGATTGCGAGCACATCAACAGCCCAGCCAAAAGACAGTGTAGCAAGGTCACTTGAAGGAAAAACACAAAAACATGTAAAGGTGTTCTCGTGTCTTGCTACTAGTGTATTAATCCCAAAACGGGATTGCAAGCCCACAAACGTGTGTATAGATATATTACGTGCTTCAAACATATATGTGCAAATCAGAAAGCTGTATAGCAAATATATTTAAACTTTATGCACAGAACATACTATTCATGCAAGTTGAATTCCGGTCGAGAGTGACTGCGACAAAAGTGTTTGCTTAAGCGAATGTTCTTTGCTCCCTAGCATTGGCTGACCCATTCAAAAAGACACGTTGAATGGACTTTAGCCCGGCTAACTAATTCTACATCTCTTTTGCACTGGAATCTTGCAACATACTGAGAGACTGGTAGTTTAGCAGCAAGTAAAAGAGCAAACATGGGTTCCGTTGATCTGTCGGTTTTAGATGGTTTTAGCACTCCTTTCCTCCGAAAGAACCACGCGACTCGCATTCCGGTTTGCGCCGGAAGCAGCACATGAACCAAACAGGACACTGTTAAAGCCCGTGATGGCATTGTCCACCAATGTCAAAATGTCCTCAGGGCTTCGCGGACATCAAACCAGAATACTTCCAGAGCCCTCACAGAAAGCATCAATTCTTAGACAAATCTCGTGAAGCATCTTAAACCGCTTTAAACCCATTGAAACTGCCAAGAATCTTGTTGTGACTCCTCAAAGCCTGCCGAACTCAAGTACCACTTCACCAGCATTGCGAATGGTTCGTACCACATCCTTGGGCTGTGCCGCATCTTGTGGATCCGTGCCAGCCACTCTGCAACAGAATGCGATCAAACTGGTTGGCAGGAAAATGATTGTCCAGCTGAAACTGTTCATATCCATGTTTCATGTTATATAGGTTTCTCCGGCGGGGCAATAACGCGATGGAGCGGTAGATTGTGACCAGGCACATTTCCATGTGTTGGATTCCCTCACAGAAACCCCATACCTGCTCACCCAGACCCTGCGCATGGCACCTGACGTGGCGGATTCGTGCCCTCCTTCTGTGGCACAAAGAGCAAACTCAAAAGTGCTCTGGGATGCTGAAAAAGTGGAGAACCGTTGCATGGTGTTTACAAGCTCTTCATGGGCCCCTGCTTGTAGCCATGTTTCACAATATATATTCTGTTGGCAAGGGCGGTACAATATTAGTATAGCATAGTTAGTTATCTATAGTTGTCACAAACGGCAACACGGCGACCACTTACAGTACAGGAAATCATCTTTCACATCATGCTGGAAATGCTGGGAAGAGCAAACGACGTGCCCATTGTCCGGTCTTCATCGGGCGTCTCAAAGCCGACGTGCCAGTAGACTTCTGTCCGGTGGTCTGGACAGTGGCGGAGCAAGGATGCCTGTGGTGGTCGAAGACCCCCGGGCGCTCTCGGAAGGCTGAAGAATCGTGGAACATCGGAAGCAAACCCAGAAGTATAGTGAGACACATTTCTTAGGTGTTGTGAGGGATGTGTGGATCAAGAATCAGGCATGATACGGAGACAATTACTAGCGATCTTGTGAATATACCCAGCTAGACCATCATCCAAACAATCCGTTTCTTTTTTTCTGGCGGAATTTGTGTGAGCTGAAGGGATGGATGAGGGGCCCCAACTTACGCCGCCCCAAAACCGACAAGTATACTTATTACTTATTCCACTCACGCATGGACCCCCAACCAAGGAACTACGCTTGATCAAGCAACTAGAAGCAGCCCTGGGGGGGCAACCCGACAATCACTATGACAATCACAAAAACACATAAATTATGGACTTGAAAAAACAATCAACGGTTTACGTTATTTCTGTTGTTTGAAGGGGGGTAGGCTGCTAGAGGTGAGGTAGGTAGTAGCCAGAGGTAGGTAGCTAGTAGAAGGGGTAGCTAGTAGCTACAAGAACGCTACTAATGGGACGCAGGATAGCTCACGCTTCTTCAATTTATTACTCATAATAGACAAGTCTTCGCTCTAGCAGTCCCCGGAGGTATGCGTTCTGCATGCCATCTCGCTACAATGGCCATCTCCAGGTGCTCACCAAGCTCCAAGCCAGAGCAGCGAGTCCGCAAATGAGCGAACTCATCTTCCAAGTCCAAAACAATCTTTTGCCACCTGCGGTCTGTTCTGGTCGTGTTCCAATGAGTCAAGCGTGGGCAGTGTGGGAAGCAGTTTGTAATACTAGTTACTTGGTTGAGAGGGGAAATCATTTACAAGGAAGTGTATCCCTTGCTAAACCAGGGATTGCAACCTACCTACATCACTGCCCAGTGAAGCCGTAGCTCAGGGCTGGATAGCGCTTCAGAATAAAGATTTGCACTCAACATGGAACACATTGTATACATGAAATATGTATTGTATAATATATATATATATAATATCTGCGTTGTAGCAAGATAGTATCAACGCCATTATATCCTGCCACTTATCCTGCCACCGGTCTCTGATGGTGACACCGCCAGCTGACCTGTCAGCGGTGCAACCTGCTCGCTGTTCCGGTGGGGTGTTGATCGCAACCGGTCGGGAGGTGGTCGTGATATGTCGTGATCACCGTGATCGTCTGGTCAAACGGTGCGAATCGTCTGGTTTATATGTTGTTTTGCCCGCCTGCACCCGAAAAAACCGGATGGACACTCTTATACTATTTCCAGACCCATCCACAAACACTGGGTTTTTACATGCTGAGTCTGCCTCAAACATCTGAGCTATACGAACCTTGGTTGCACAGACTGAACTCAGTTGATCCAGCAAAACCAACTCCTTCCAACACCACACGGTCGATCCGGCACTTCGTCTGCGATCCGGTCCTACGGTCGCCGCAACGGTCGTGACCCGTGACCGGTCGCGCCTCTTCAGGTCATTGACCATCAAATCGATGCTGGGAGCCCTTGTGGGGTAGGGCGGACGAACGTACCTGAGCCAGAGCATGGTTTCATGGGGAATAAGAGACACATGACGACACATGTTTTCAAGGTAAACATCAAAGACTACGAATAACATCTAATAGGTAACATCACGGCCCATAGGAAACTCCCTGTTCTTCTCCGGATGGCTCCCTGTGGAAAGGCGAATCGTACATATGGATAATGCCCCAGCTCCAACTGGCTCCCACCCAGCTCCCTCAGCTACAAGTAGATAGGAATCAGGTCGAAGTGGCACACTGTTCCCTTTGATGTGAAAAGGGGTGTTTGAACGTAGTTGCTTTCCAACACTCCAACACACAGCACAATCCCAAATGATAATCACCAGGCACCCTGCCTTGCAATTGCTCATTTAGGGTTCCGGCGTTCAAGGTACTTGCTTGGATCTACCATAAAAACGTGAACTATACCTGTGATCATTTGATCCATTCCACGACTACAAGACAAATTACTGTTGCAAAGAGAGTGTAGGGTTAGTCATGTTACAAGTACCTCTTCTTGAGGACTCGACCTAAATGGCAGGTCGCGTTGTTTCATGCCAAACGGCCAATAGCCGTAGCTGCAGGCGGCATGACCAAAGGTCCAATAGTCTGCCCAGGGACCTGCCTAAGGCAGAATCCGGAATCCGTTCCCGCCGGCTTGGAAAAGCGCAAGCAGCTGGCCGAGTTGCAAGAAAATAACAAACACAAGTTACACAAGCCTCAATCTACCTCTTATAACCCGTACAAGTTCTACAAGGACCTGTTTTAGATATCTGATTTGCTACGGCTGCTACGAGCTTCAGATTCCTGCTGTTTGTCATATATATATATAAGTATATAAATACTAATTTATACTTATATATACTAATAATACAATATTTTAAAAAATATATTATAGTATAGAAAAACAGTATAACAACATATAGTATGATATAATATAATATTCAGCTCACCTCAAGAAATCCACGGAAAGCATACCAGTTGTGATCCACACAGCTCTGATCCAAATTTAAGGGATCGAAATGGATCGAAAATCCATCCCGACTGCTGGCGCGACTCACTCCTCGCTCTATCTCTCAACCAAATGTGGATCCCAAGCTCTTGGATGGACATCGAACTGAACTCTTCCGTAGGATGCTCAACTCTGCGATGGTGTGGATGACTCGTCAACTGGTGTCGATGGCTTGGGATGGAAAGCTATGCCCAAATACGCAAGCATACCCAAGCAGTACCTTCTTGGATGATGTTTGGGCGATCTACGAATGGGTTGGGGCACTTGAGAGCTCTGGGATTCCGCCAAAGGCACAGACTTCAGCACAACCTCCTGCAATACTTCTCTGCACTGCTCCTGCCTGGTGGGAATCTGCGAAGTGGACACAAAGCAAAGTGTAGAGTGTGACAAGGGCAGGTAGGTTAATTGTACACTTTGCTTAAAGGATGAACAGGTTAATTATACAATCAGGGTGAAGCCTGTCTTGTTGCCTTCTTGAGAGGATTCTCTACGGCATGTCAATGTGGAAATCGGCTATGAGGTATCATTGTAGAACGTCCCGGCACCACTGGCAGGCCCTTGAAGGTCACATTCTTAGTCCGAAGCGTCACCAAACACTACAGTTTAAGAACATGAGAATAGGTTGCTCGACTGACCTCACAAACCCCATGTGCTGAATTGAAGCCCAACCAGTTCCCAATCAAACGGCCCGCTTTGAACTTGACCAACAAAATACAAAGTGCAACCAAAATCAACTCTGACATAGTCGGAAGCTTTCTCAAACAAGAAGACAAACAACGACGGCTTTCTCAAACACCTTCCAGGGAACACAAACCACCCTGGAAAACGAGAAAGCCTTTCCACGGAACATTCCAACCCTATGAGGGAACCAATCAGGGATGAAAAAGACCAAACCGGAAACGGAAAACACCAAACAGGAAGAACATGAAAAAGTATCTCAAGAGAAGGAAAACCACCTAACAGGGATGTTTTTATTTTTTTTACACCTACTGGTGTACTAAAGAAGAACAAAACCATCGTACCATCAAGAACACTGTACCCTAAAACTTGTTTTGCTGGGCAATCGTAACTATATAGTCATAAGATGATACAGACATGTCCCCGCTCACTAGACATCTGGATCTCAACATCATGCAGTGTTTTTGGGGTGCAAATCATGTACAAGCCCGAACAGTGATGCTTCTAAAGGGTCTTTCAATACTCGGGGCTTTGGCCACCACATGCCACCATTTAGTGAAGAAGTAGCGAACGAAACTGGAAACCATTCCAAAATCTTCAACCACAGAATCAGAACCCCTCAGTTTCTGTTGCACTGCACCCATTCCTGCCATCACCGCGCCGGAACCGAATCTCGGAGCGAGTCAGGCCGACCGGGATAGCGGCCTCCAACCTACTAGCGAAAAAGGTCGTTTGCAGTCCCTGAAATAAAGGATATGGAAGGATATGGAAGGCATGGCTCTTTGGATGACCATGAAATCAGAATAAACAGGTGAAGTGCCATCCACTGCCATGATTATTTCAAGCAGTGAACTCCTCACAGAAATTCAGACATCAGTCCGTGCTCACGGTTTCAACCTATCAATTGTATTGCTCGTTGGAATCATATCAGGCTGAGGTTGAACATAATGAATCTTTAAATCGCCAACCAGATGTCATTACTCAGGTAAATGCACAGGTGGGATCTCCTCCCGTGCAACAACATTGGCGTTTTGTCAAGTTGCCATTCCTTCAGCTCCTCGTCCATCGTATCTTGTCCTGGGTGCTCAGGTTCAGCCCGTCCTGGATGCGAACTCGCGACACGATCGATCGATCCGTCTCGGCATCGCCGATCGATCCGTTGCCCCCCACGGACGTCGGAACTCCTCTCCATGGGATGCGAAAGAGTCCGGTCCGTCGATGCGAAAGAATCCGGTTCGCAGCGATCCGATCTGTACTCCGCCTGTATCCATCTATAGATATGCCCAGAAACTAGCAGGTGCAATAATACGTCAAGAACAACACTTTACAGTACTCCACTGGGTTGACCAGTTCAGTTCCTTCTATCCACTTAAATAAACCTTTCATAAGTCCAAACCACACCACACCAACAAATCTCAACCATCCTTTTGATTGGTTAGAATTTGTGGAAAAAAAGATAAGCATCTCAAGAATAGGCCTCTCTCAGTCCGAGCGGCTCCGCTGCCAGTCACCCGGCCAGGCCTCTTGCAGCGCCCCACGCAGCTTGGCTTCATCAAAGCCCTCGAAGGCGCCGCCTCGGTCGATGCCCAGCACGGTCCGGGAGGTCCGGAGGTCGGTCGACGCGACGGGGACGGGTGGTTTGGGTGAGTGACAGTGCACAGCTGCGTCCTCTGCTCCGAAATCGAGAAAAAGACACAGTTCTTTGATGTGGATGCTGAAAGGCCAAAGGCTTGATAGCAAGCACATCAAGACTCAGAAACCCAGATTGCAAAAGTTCAACCATGGCATGAGTCATCCCATAGCTTTCAAGACATAAATGAACCATAATGATCCTAGCCCAACTCAGCCGCAACTCCACTTAAATGTTTGATTTCCATGGGCACCGTGCCGCAATTCCAAACAGACCGAATTGGACGACCTGAGAAAGCCCATGAAAGCCCCCCGACTGGCTGTCGAAGCTCCAACTCCAACAATCCAGTGCAGTCTCTCAGCGCCCGAAAGGGTTGTTTTGCTTGAGCTTGTTGACCCTTCCATTGTCTTCTGTCGCAGCATATGTATATAATATGTATATATACATATATTATATATACAATTATAACTATATGTTGATGTGTGTGTTCTTGCATGACCATCACTTCATCATGGCACTAACTTTCATAACATCAATTAGATGTATGTCTTATGTCTGGCGTTTGGAGAGCTTGGGGTGGTCCCCTGGCTTGAACATGTTCACACCATATACAACTCAAATAGGTTATGGCACCAACCATGATAAACACAGTGGGGTTGTTGAACACCTTGAGCTTGAAGATCAAAATCTGTTGGAACTGGCCTGCCAAACACACATATCACAAGTCCAAACATGTTCAATAACAACCATTGACCTTGGAGAACAAACAGGGTTTTGGTAACGCTGACCCAATTATGTATCTGAGCAACAATCAAGACATGGAACAAACATCCCAAACAGCAAACAACCTGGACTGTGTTTCACACACCTGTGCCACGCGAACCGCACTTGACCGGTTTTGGTACCACTGACCCTGAAATGGGCAAATGGATGTTCCATTTTCTTCCATTGACTTCCTACCTGGGACCAACGATGCCAGAAAACCGTTAAATCAAGTTAAATCTTGGTGGTTGTCAGGTTTGGGGCTGGACAACATGGTATTGTTCCCCCTTCCAAAAGATACCGGTGTCAGCGGCTGTGACCATGTGCCAGCTGCTGTCCGGTCACAGTAGAGTGATGACCATTGTCCTTCGGCAATGCTCATCACTTGCACCTGAACGACACATGCAGCTGATATCAGCTGATGAGCATACAACATCAGGCCGTCTTCACCGTCTTGGAACATGAGACTTTGGGCTGTCCAAAAACGGTTCAACCCAGTACAACAAAAAACACGCACTCAGCCAACGCAAGCGCAATTGAACCATACCCTTTTGGGCGATCCTGATGTTGAATGACTTTGGGAGATCAAACCCGGTTCTTAAAGCTCCCCGTATTCAATGATCACAACCCACCAAGAGGTGGACATCACAAACATTACTTCGGAGGATCACATTCTTGGATCCGATGAAACACGAAAACATACGGCACCAACCCGGTCGAGCCGAGCTTCGGTGCGACGTCACGGACGGAGACCGGTGTTCGGACGGAGACCGGACCGGTCAGACCCGTGTGCCCGTGTGCCGCCTGGACCGTGGTCATTTGCACGACCGGTCGGTCTAAGCGACTTGAAAAAGCCTGGGAGACTTATACAAGAAGACTTTAACAACAAAGAGAGAGAGAGAGAGAGAGAAAGAAAGAATGAAACACATATAAAGGGGAACAAGCAGCTTTCGGGATGGAGGGAAGGAAGAAAGGAAAGAAGGAAGGAAGGAAGGAAGAAGGAAGCAAAGGGTGGAGAACATAATTCAGTGTAGTTGGTCTACTCCCTGCCTTCAGCGGGGACTGGCACACCTTCAAAGAAAATGCACAATATTGCACAATGGCTTTCTTCTATATACAGTATCTTCTATGGGTTTAACTCATGTGGGATGGCCTCTGATGGTCAGAAGCACCGATTAATTCAATTTGTTGAGACGCCTGCACAGCACCTTCGGAAGGGATGACATCACTACCTGAGGCGCGGGGATGACGTGTCACGGGATGACGTGACTCTCCTGCACCCAAAAAACGAGCGAAGCGTCGAAGGACTTTGGGATAATGTTTAGGAAAAGAACGTGGAAATGCATGGAAATGCACCATCAATGAATCAAGGTTGCAGGAGTGTTCCTTTCTTTTCATGTGAGGAACCTGCTCCCGAATTCTGCGAAGGATCTACTACCGTCGATCCACCGAATTCCGAATTCGGGGGAGAGCCATTCGATCCCTCCGTCTCGAGCTTTTCTGCACCCTCCCAAAAGTCGCGCCACCCACCGGGAAAAGAACGATGCATGTGAAGGGAGGCTTCAGTTACGGTTTATCAGTTTATCAGAGTGGCTTGGCTTGTATGCTTCGTAGAAGCACCAAAAGTATTGAAGAGTTGCAGCTTCAGTCACGTCGTCGAAAGTTGTTAATCGAACCCGCTGGTCTTTGGTCGGTGGGCCCTAAATCCAAAAATGCCCTGTGGGACCAAAGCCTGGGACATAGGGGTGGCGATGTGACCTGACTTGTGCTCCGAGATTGGTGAGCCTGAAATCACAATTTCTGGGGTCCCACCGTGTGGAACCAACTATTGCAACAAACCACTGCAGTGTCATTAAGAGGATCACTGTAAGCTCACAGCACATATCGTTATAATACATGTTCCCATGTCAGTTGATTATTTGAGCATTTAGACTCCAAGCTCCTGACTCCAAAACAGTTGCTACCCTGAGTACAGCAGTCAAATTTCAGAAGCTGTGTAGAATAATCTTCCTTACAATCCACTTCTTCCCAGTTCCAAAATTCTGCCCAGCCACCAGAGAGGACTTCCCCTGCCTCTGTGATCAACCGCAGGGATCCACCTGGAAGGAACTTCTGCAATGTCAACGCTGCCTCCCGCACAGTGCAAAGCACTGGCACAGTGCCTAGATGGACAGCTGGAGAGGAGCTGGAAAGTCTTGAGGACAGAGTCCTGAGTCCTGTGGACATATGTATATATATATATATATAAGTATGTAATATGTACACATGCATAATGTTGGGTCTTTAAGTTGGGGGTCTATGGCCGTGCTACATACGTAAATATTTAAATACAGGATTCTCCTGTGCAGCAGCCTTGAAACTGAATTCAAGAAGGCACATGACATGCAGTAAGCAACTGGGCTTCAAGTGCTTCGGTGTGAGCATCTCAAAGTCTTCAGGCTTGCAACTGCCAATGGGTTAACCAATCTACAGGCCAATCGAAAATCTTCCTCAAAACCCTATAACAACCCCTCTGCAATTCCCATGGTTTCTTTGAGGGAGTAGAATGGAAGCAATCACCCCCACAAAGTAAATACATCTGTCCCATCTTCATGGATCAAATTGGGTCTAATTTGGGGATGCCTGTGAACTCCACACCCACGGCGGCAGCTCCATTGCCCGAGCTGCAAGGGATCTCCTCGCCGCTGAGTTTCATGAATTTTGCCCTGGAAACGCCGCCGGTCGCGTAGCCCTCCATGGCCGCCAGGGGTCGCGATGCCGTTCCCAGCGGTCCAAGCTCGGCTCTGCAACGGTATGAGGAGGCCCCCAAGCCCAAAAGCCACGCTGAAGAGTTCGATGGATTTTCTCGGCGTCCAAGGACCACGGAGCCCAAGATCTATCCCAAATACTCCAAGCATGTGTGGAATATTATAATTACAGTGTTATACATGGACTTCTGAAACAACCGCTATATGCACTACATTGTATTATGCATGTCAAAGACGGAATGTCTGGGTATGGAAGTTGCATGGAGGCCCAGGGGTCAAAGCACTGCATCGCTGTACGACCTTTTTGATGGGCCCTCCCCTGTGGTGTGGACATGTGTGTGGCTCACTGGATTAGTTTGTTTTTAATAATCATGTGTGGTTGACCACACCTCGGTCATATTTATTCTGCATGTGGACTAGGTTGGATTAATTGAAGACAATTAGCATGTTTGTTGTTTTTTTACATGCAATCTTTCAACAAGAATCATTGAAATTCAATATTAAAGTATAGTATACTAACTGGACAATGGTATAATATTTGCACAAATTTGAACAAACCCTTGATATCTCATTGTATCTCTTGGATACTCTGCATAAAGCTTCTGATCAGGAACGAAGGAACAAATCATATGAAGATATATGGAGGATTTTAAGGGAAAATAATTCTGGAGTAACTTATGTTTTCGGTGTTTTCCGTGGGCGGCATGCATTGAAATATTTTTGCGCAAACAACTGTGAGAATTATCTTGTGAAGTGCCACATCTCTCACACAATGGGAATAGAACATGGCACGCACAAACCATACCAAACATTACCAAACAAAACCACCAAAAGGCGGCCAGCTCTGGAATTCTTGACTATGCTTCACACACCTTGACTCTATTCACTGAGCTTCTGATTCTTAATGCTTCGTATAGTGTGTGCATCGACTTATATACTTTGTTATTCATGTGTCCTCTTACATCTATGTTTACAGTATATTCTTCTTGTGTACCTCCGACCCACACCTTGAGGACACCTGCAAATGTATCGTTTTAGTCGAAATTATTCTGACAAATTACTCCTGGAGTCGTACCCTGAATAAGGCAGAGCCCATCCTTTTTGGAGTCCTTAAGGATCCTTTCCACACCCACGCCTGTCCTGACCTCAAACCGGGCGATAAAAAGGTCACTTTGAAGAACCAGGCATCCTTCGGCATCCTTTCCCCGACAGCTTCCACCATCCATGTCTGGTTCTGGAGGACTGGCCTGTATATCGATGAAATACCTGGTGGAAAAAGAAGCCAAACGGAAACAAACATTACGTGAACCATCTCCGGTGGGTTCACTCATTTCTGGACGATCCCCAGGATCCTGCCGTTTGGCGTCATCACATCGAGGGAGTCTGGGGCCCGCAGACGGCTTGATGCGTTCATCTGACCTCAAGGCGTGGCCACCGGGTCCCGAGGCCTCCAGGTCGACCGTTCTGGGCCCCGCTCCGCCCTAACCCGCCCAGCTGAGAGGAAAAGAATCCGGGATTGATGGACCCTAAGGTTTTACAAGGACCCGTTTGTCATTAGAACACATCTAAGCACATGGCTGTGCAGGCTCGTCAAATGGTCCTTGAATGCCACGAAAAAACTCCCGTAGAGCGATGATGGTCGATGCACATCCCTGGTGGTCCGTGTCAGTTCCGGGGGTTCAATGAGGGCCTGCTGGAGTGATGCATAGGCCCGAGCCTTTGGATGAATAATGTGGGACATTGGCTTGGAGGGTTTTGCTCCTGGAGCTCCAAATCTACCAAGCGACTTACAAATATATATAATATAATATAATATAATATAATATAATATAATATAATATAATAGTATGTTGATATAATATTATATATATGATATGGTCACACACTGAACTACATAACTACAGTTGCTTGAAGTTGGGTGATGTTTGACGTAAAGGACCAGTTGGGTGTTCCTGCTAAACATGGTAACATGGTCCTGCCTTGGGTTTTTCTCGCATAGTCCGGAAGGTCGATCATACACTGATCGAACCCCGGATACAAGGGATACACAACTCTCCCGTTGAAAGGCAACGAGTCAGGATGCAAATGTTGATCTTGTTCAGGATTGTGCTAAGGACCGTCTGAAAAGCTAAAACGAGTCAGAGTACCAAATGTGTAACAATTGTATAATTGTGAGTTTAACGATCAACATTCAACAGGCACACAAATTGTTGGACACCAACAAAAAGTGTGACGTTGCTTTCAAAATGATTCAATCATGTCATACTCGGCTAACAAAGTCATGGTCCTAGATGCGGCAGCTTGAAACTGTGTTCCTCCGCACACTGAGCCAAGAAGCGCGGGCAGCACCTCAGTCGGCTTGGTTTGGGTGAGAACATCAAGAAGTCCCGTAAAGCATCGAATCAGGTGCAGTTAGCAAACTTACAACAGCTTGACCCTGAGAAAGTTTGCACCTCAACATGGACTTAGATTGTTATTACGCGGGTGTATCAAACTATGGGAGACCCTCAATGATGCACTGATATTTCAACCTTAGCCTTAGCGTGCTGGTGCGTGGAAAGCTTCTTCCACGGTGAGATGAGCACACTTTTCCGAATACTTTGAAATTGACAAAGTAGCTAAGCAGGAGATGACTGGCATTGAGCTGTTTACGAACAAGTAGCTGTGCTAACTAAAAGACGATTGTTTTCTGCTAGAAATTCAAATCGGTCATCATGTGACTGACCTGTTGGACCTAGTTTCTTGCTCGTGCTCGTGACAAAAGCATGTGTGGCAACCCACCTGGCGACCTGGTCTTGGTCACAACGTCCCAGCCCAGGAGGTCAGAAAACACTGCAGAAACCAATCAAATGTGAGAACCGACCAACACAGAAAGCCAAAGCGTTTCGGCCAAACCTGGCGACTCAGACTCAAACGTTCGGCGAACAAGACCGAACGTCCGGCATGTAGCTCCACGCCGGGTAAAACTGGGAGGCCCTACCGGGCCCTATACTAACAAGAAGCTACTGAAAGCCGTTGGATTCCTGGGACGCCCGGGCGCGAGAATTCGCCGTCTCCTCCGTCGTTGTGACCTGAGGATGCAATCGAACTCGACTCGGGTGCCACGACGTGCATCCAATTTGCGGCAGAGAGATGTATATATGAAGGCAACACACCAGAACAATGTATATGAGTGCAACAGACTTTCTGTCTCACTTCAACTTCGAGGATTTGATGTTGAATTCATCATGGCTCAACCTCAATTTGTATCATCCAACCCTGCCTGGAATGTTCCCACGTTGGCACGTTCTTCGGCCAAAACCAAACGCCCCGTGGCGATCGCCCCACCTGGCGCATGGACAACGGCCTGAAGACCACCTCCATGGCCTCCTCCCTGCACGATGAAAGGTCCGACGGTCGGGAATTCGGTCTGATGGTTTTGACGTTTTGAAGAAGAATTGATCTGTGAAAACAAGCAACACATGCAAAAGCAAGGCAGGGCCAATCGGTTAGATTGGAACGGGATAGCTTCGCCCAACTGCCCTGGGTGCCACACATCCTGTCAGCTCCGGAAACCATGCTGTCGGTCCGACGCTCGACCCCTTTTGGTGTTCAAAGCGGGTGCTACACTCGAAATGTGTAGAGGTGCTGCTGGTTGGTGTGTGTGTGCGCATGTGTATATGTTTCTCCAGGGGATGTGAATTCCATGTGATCATGTGACGTTGGTGTGTACCGCACGGAATCCGGAAACCCTGTGCAAAGAGTTTTAGGTGGCTGACTCTAGGCTTCCAATGTTTGAAACTGTTGGTAACATATCAACATATCATGGCTTCTTGGGCTCTGCTTCTGTTCCATGACTTCTTTATATAAACTAGCTCAAATGCATTTCTCGCCGATTCCAAAACCACATGGAAACACACATATTGATCAGTAAGCCTGCAAAACTTGACAAACAAACAATCTACAGCAAAATCTAAACAAATCAAGATCAATCAAGCCAATGGAGAAGCACCAAGTTGATGGTCCTCTTGCATCACCTGATAGTTGCAGGATGTAGTTTGAATGAATTCAGTTTGGTCAGGTTAGATCTGAGATGGGTATAAGTGCCAGGGATTCACTGGGCCACTACCCTGCTTCGAACCAAGGTAAGGCGATGTCGTAGATCATGGTGGTCTACCTGTCGTGGTCACAGCCTCCCTGTCCCTCCACTTTCCTCTATTTAATTTTCTTTCTGGCCGGCCCTAAACATCTCCAGAAACACAAAAAGACCCAGCCCATTGGGTTCATTGGATCATGTTTTTTCTCTATTGAAATTAAGGTAACTGGCGGGGTAGGGGTAAGAAACAACATGAGACTTGGTGGTGTGTTACGCAGGTTCAACTGAAACATGGGCTACTGAAAAGCCTGACAAAAAGAAGGCCACTCCACTGCACAAATCCTCAAGGTCTAAAGAAGTCTGGGGCGCTTATCTTATCCCAAACACTCCATAGCACTGGCATATATACATTGGGGTGGTTTGAGGGGTCAATGTACGTAGGTATATAGACATGAGATTGTTGGAGTATATGTTTTACTCAACTTCCGGCGATTGACTCAATGTCGAGGGCAACGGTGAAGTGGACACCCTCAATCTTGCAACAGGTAGCAAGCTCGAGAGGCAGGTGGGTGTGAAGCTAAATTATGGATAATTATGGAGGGTCCCAAACTAGAGATGAAACAATGCCTTTAGGCAGCCATGGCCAGCACGAGCAAACATGAGCTGATTCACAGGTCGTTTGCCATTTGCAGGTTTGGGTTTTGTTGGTTTCCCCAAGCCGGACACTACAGGTATGAAGACCAATGCCATTCTTGTGTTCCTCATTTCTGGGCCATTGCTTTGGGAGTTTCGGGCTGTTTTGGGCTGCTGCTCCGGCTTCGACTACCAGTGCTCGAGGCAACTAGCCTCTGACTGTCTATCCGCTTTCTGGACCTCCCCCCCAAAAAGGAAACGGGATGGATGAGTACGAGGAAGAACCGGTTCCCACCTGCCAGCTGGTTTGGATGTGTTTTCTGAGCAAGGCTTGGCATCTGTTAAATCATTCTTGGAGCCTTTCGAGTCTACTTCCTGTCACACCAAGTCGGTACACCAAGTCGCTCGCGCAAAAGCGCTTTTGACTCCAGCTTGGGGCCGTCGGACAGCGAAAGCGTTCCTCCAGTCTCCTTTTGAACTGGGCCGAATTTCTTGAGCAAGGGTCAAAACCTCCAACCTTTTGACCTGGGGTATGGCTCTTTTGATCTCAAATTTGAGCTCTCTAAAGCATCCCCTGAAGCTCCTACGGGGTTCCATTGTCTGATTCTGAACATGCAATTAGTTTTTGCGATTATTGAATCAAGTCTTGCTCTAAATGGTATTCTTTTAATGGCAATTTCCTTGGTTCTCAGTAGCACTTGAGTGTGTGTGTGTGTTTAGCTATTTTTGTGCGAGCAAAACACATGCTGCTTCTGCCACTTCAGTGCTTTGCTGGATCTGAAACACCGAATTCCATTGCTCAAGCATTCCCTGATGCAAGATCTATGTTGTCCACTTTCTTCTTCGAACTCGCCGGAGTACATCTCACGTGGCGTTTCCCTCGATTGCCATGTGTTTCTGCCTGGCGACACATCCGATGACTCGAAGGGCCCGTCATTTTCGCGGCAGAACCACCGCAGCTTGACATCCCTTGAGCTTCAGCAACCACTTCCAGGTTCTTCAACTTTACAACCCGTTTTTGCATGTTTTTGCAACATGAGCTAGTTCAAGCATGCTGAAACCCTTCTATCCTGTTATCTGCCTGTAAATCAAAGCCAAAGAACGGAGAACATCAACATGAATTATATATATATATATATTAATGGTCAATTCTACCTGTGATGAGGGGGGCCAAAGCTTGTGGATCTTGTGTCTTGGATCTATTTCCCATTTTAACATGTCACACCCTCAAAAGGCTGTGGGACATCAGGGCCTGTCACAAACGGAATTATCCATTCAAAGTGAATCTTAACTTAAAACGCGTGTTTTGTTGGTGCCCAAAGACTTGTTGCGTCCTGAAAAGGATCAGGGCTCTCGACTGTTTTCACCCCAGGATCCTTCATCTCCATTAAGAGTCTCATAATGTCTCATATGATTAGCTGCTCACTCGTCTGGGCGGCCCAAACTGCAAAATCCTTCACTGACCTGAAATCAGTGCATTTGCGGTTGCAAAATTCCTGAAGGATCCTGAGGACCATGCAGTTTCATGTTATTCCTTCAATTCTTTTCAGTGACTAACCCCAACCCCGTCGAAAAAGCGCTCTCCCGACCTCAGGCTGGCTCCACGCCCGAATACCTCAGTGAACATCCAACAGTGGCTATATGAAAGAATGTAGTAATACTAAAGACTAAAAATGCCAAAACACATCGGTGTGTGTGTGTGTGTCTCTTTATATTGTGTTCTCCTGAACAAGCATATACATGCTGCGCATGGCCGCTTTGAAGACTCCAAGTAAAAGAAAAACGTGGGTCACCCAACTCAGTCGACACCTGGGGGATGTTCAGTACCAAGGAAACTTGCTTAAAGCTGATGCCATCTGAAGACCCGCTGCGTTTGGCTCGGATATGGGGTCTAAGGGGGGCTCTGGCGTATGGCGGGGTACATTCCCGCCAAGTCTACGCAGACGAGCTACACGTGCGACAGGATGAGCTTGACATCTTGCGGTAACTGGCGGAACCGGGTCGCGATGCGAAAACTGCCCGAACACATACAGGTTGTGGACACGCTCTATATTCTGTCTGTTGTAGCACTCTAAGATACAGTACACTTGAGGATTGGATCTCTTGGAAATAGATGAGGGGCTAAAGCACCTGGCAAAGCTTGCCAGTCCATACAAGTTGTCTTGACCCTACGGGGTTTGTACTGATTATGAAGAGACACACATGTGTACTCAAAAGCTTCAACTCTGGTTGAAACTTTGAGTCTTCAGCATTCATTGTGTTTCAGGTCACCAAAGTAATTGGCCAGTCTGTTTCTTTTGGTCTACACTACACTAGTTACTTTGAAAGTTGGTTTGATTTCTCAATTGCACATGGTTTCAATCGTCTGGTCCTTCTTCGTGCAGGATTCTGCACCCTACATCCGCTGAAGGCCAAGTATATAATTAAGCATATATATATATCAAATATAGAAACATGAAGGCAGGACAGCTTATACGATCTTTTTCTCGCTCCAT